GCAGGATCCCGGCCTGCCTGACCACATCCGCAGCGTCAACTTCCAGACCGCCGGTGGAAAGCTCTATCTCGTGCCGGAAAACTCCCAGATGCACCGCAAGCCTGACACCTGCAATCACTGCCTGTCTGTCCAGGAGCTGACTCAAGACGTTCCCGCCGATTATCTTGTGCCCCGCCACCGGCCCGCCCCCCGTCCCGAAGACAACGCCTATTTGTGCTTTACTTCTGGCTCGACTGGCAAGCCCAAGGGTGTCATGTGCCACCATGCCGGTCTGGTTGCCTTCCAGAAGGACCTCGAAGTCAGACTGTTTGCTGCTCCCGGCCAGCGCATCTCGCAGCTCATGTCCCCGGCCTTTGATGGCAGCATCCACGAGATCTTCTCCGCCCTGTGTTACGGAGCCACGCTCGTTCTAGCCGAGGGGGTCGACCCATTTGCCCATTTGAAGAAGAGCAATGCTGCGATTCTGACCCCCTCCGTCGCCAAAATCCTCGCCCCTAAGGATTTTCCCGAGCTCCGAGCCGTATATCTAGTCGGCGAGCAGGTGCCTCAGTATGTCAACGATGTCTGGTCCTCTGCCACCACGCTCTACAACATGTATGGCCCCACAGAGGCCACTTGCGGTGCCACCATCACGCGTCTGCTCCCTGGCCAAACCGTCACTATCGGCGGTCCCAACCCCACCACTCGCATCTACATCCTCGGCCAGAACCAGCAGCTCCTGCCTCCCGGGGTCGTGGGAGAGATCTACTGTGCCGGGGTGCAGGTGGCCAACGGATACATTCGACGCCCCGAACTGACCGCAGAGCGCTTCCTGCCCGACACCATCACCAACCGTCCGGGCGAGAAGATGTACCGCACCGGAGACCGTGGCTTCTTCACAAGGTCCGGCCAGGTCGATTGTCTGGGCCGCAACGACCGCCAGATCAAGCTGCGCGGCTATCGCACCGACCTCAACGACCTTGAGACCCGTGTGGCGCAAGCCATCCACGAGTCCACGGCCGTCGCCATCTGCCCTAAGGACGACTATCTGGTCGCCATGATCCAGCCTGAGACTCTCGATGTGGCCGATGTCCGCAGCCGCATATCCCAGGTGCTCCCCGTGCACGCCATGCCTCGTCGCATCATGGTCGTCGACAAGTTCCCCATGACCCCTGCCGGCAAGCTCGACTACAAGGAGATTGCCAACCAATGCACCGCAGCCCCCCCGCAGCCGACAGTTTCCAAGAAGTCACAGTTGTCGAGCAAGACCGAGATAGCCCTGGCCGATCTGTGGAAGGAACTGCTCTCTCTGGGCTCTGACTCGGACATTGTCACTCCTGAGTCCAGTTTTGTTTCCCTGGGCGGGCACTCGGTCGTCCAGCTGCGCCTGGCCAGCAAGATTTCCAAGGCTTATGGCGTCAAGATGCCCGTCACCCGCATCGTCGAGTCGGCCAATCTTTCCGAGATGGCAAAGACGCTCGACGGCCTCATCAAGAACGTGCCCACAACCCAGACACGGGCCCTCAAGCCCCTGGGCCGCAACAAGGTGTCCCCCATCGAGCGTGAATGGCTGGACAAGTACCATCTCGAGCTGGGTACATCTGCGTTCAATGTGACGTTCGCCTGCAAGATCGACAGCTCCAAAGTTGACGTCGACCAGCTGATCGCCTGCTGGAACGCCGTCCTCGCCCGCCACGACATCTTCCGCAGCCGCTCCCACCTCGATTACCGCGGAAAGGGACCCCGCCGCAGATACGCCCGCTATTCCCCGCAGGTGATGCGGGTACAGGCCTTCAACCTCTGGCGCGAGTCCAACCGCCCCTTCCATCTCGACCGCCAACACCCGATCCGGGTCATCGTGTCCAAGACGATGATGCTCGCCTCGATGAGCCATCTGATTGCCGATCTGACCTCCCTGCAGGTCGTCCTGGCCGAAGTAATCCGTCTGTATCGCGGCCAGGGTCTGGGGCCCATCAGGCGCCGCTACCACGAGACCACCCAATGGAGCACCACGGCGACATCCGCCGAGACCGCCTGGTGGACGCAGTATCTCGACGGCGCCGTCACCCACCGCGACTACAGCATTCCCAACCTCACCCACCGGTCCAGCTACGGCGGCCAGACACACATGGCCAAGCTAAGCAAGACCCTAGCCACGCGCGCCATCCAGTTCTCCGAAGCCACCAGCACCACGCTGCACCAGCTGGGCCTGGCCGCAGTCGCCCTGGCGCTCCAGTGCACGCGCGACGACAGCGACATCGTCCTGGGCGGTCCCTACTTCAACCGCGGCCAGGACGACCTCGAGACCGTTGGACTCTTCCTCGAGCCGATCCCCATCCGCATCCAGTTCCCAGGCACTCGGGACACCAGCGCCGCGTCGACCCAATCATTCGTCCGCGCGGTGCAGCGGGCGAGCCAGTCGGCCATCGCACACGCTATTCCCTGGAACCAGCTGCTGGAGGCCGTCGGTGTCCGCCCGGACTTCCCCGACCACCCGCTGATGGACGTGATGGTAACCTTCCACGACGACCGCACATCGCCCAAGATGCCCGTCGACGGGCTGGACCCGGTGATCACTTACACCAAGGGCTCCAAGTTTGCGCTCCTGGTTGAATTCTGCGCCATTTCCAACGGGACGATCCTGATGCGACTCGAGCACGACACCGAGTGCGTCCCCGCGGAGAAAATTCACGGTGTGGAGAAGATGATCCTCGAGGCACTGCGCATGGTGGTTGAGGGCGTTGGATATACGTCTATCAAGGAGAAGTTGAGGACGATGTCCACCATCCCTGATCGGAACTTCAAGGCCATTCCTGGTAAGAACCCCAAGGTTCAACGGTATTTTGGAAAGGGGATTGCGGAGATACGGAGCGAGTAGGTTATACATTTGGCTTCTTCTTCTTCTTTCTCTTTTTTTTCTTCTGTTTTTTACAAATTCCTTCTCATGTATCTAGACTGGGTTGGCATCTTGGGATCTGGAGTTATGGGATAGAAAATCAAAGGCTGCCTCAATTGTCCATTAACTCGGAAGTGAAAGACGTAGTATAGATACTCGAGCATCTATTCTCAAACTGGTTGGTATCAACGCTTCCAAATCGCCCCTCTACTGTCTGGGCAGATGGACAGAGGATTCTCTCGCAAACCGAATAATAGAAGGTTTACATTTTGTCAAGAATCAGTAGAGTGTCACCATGCAAGAATAAATCCAGATTACCTTTTCTTGGAGAATTCTTGCTTGGTTATAATTGTTCTTTGAAATAAGTGCTCCGATCTTTAGCTCGTCTAATTAGATAAAGTTGCAAGGCAAATAAGATCAACATATGAGTCAACCTGTGAATAGAGACCGGATGGTCAATAGTTCACGGAAATCTATATGGGACGAGTTTTTAGTGCTGCGCTGTGCTGCTATTGAAGAACTGGGACAAGCGCTATTGATGTGTACCCCAAAATAGCAAGACAGACCTAGTCTGTACAAGATTGGAGAGATAGTTGAGCTGTCGTTTCAAAAGTTGGATAGAGGCCGCGGAAGTCAACTCGCGAGTACGAAACAAAACCGCTTTTGTTTGCACTAGGGATACTGTGTGTAACGGTGGATGCAGGCAGTTATCCTATCCCCAACCTCCCTCTCTCGGAAACGAGTCTTTCCGATGGATGGCCCCTGAGCACGGATACCTGGGGAGGCGATGATCAGCTATAAATGGGACTCATATAGGGGACAAAGAAGGTTACAACTACCTGAATTGGAGGATGCAGAAGAGACTCACAAAGAAAGAAAGGAAGGAAACAGCGCGTGACAGAAATAGACATGGAGGAATTGATGGAAAGGGTCCTCTATGTCATGTGTCTTGGCTGTAGATCACATAGTCGAGTTGACATGTCGAATGTTATAATTTGGCCGTTGGTCAAGTTGATTTCCTCCATGGGAGGGGATGGAGACTGCCTGTTTAATATACTGGTCGTTTTTCATCCTTGAGGTTATAATGGATTATCTGCAGGATGTCACTTCCTATTGATGACCTTTAATCATGAGTCGGTAGTATTTCCCGATGGATAGTCGACCAAGATGCTCGAGGATAGTCAAGCTGTTTGGATTAGAGTGAGGGACAATGTGCTGTTCACTTCAGGGATAACTGATGTTATTCGCTATGTCAAAACTTTGGATAGCTTCAATTCCGCGAGATGGAAGGTGGTACAAACCTGCATGGTTGGGCGCCTCAACGAGGAGGTATAACTTGTTTGCCTGAATTTGGTGGTATCACTTGTTTGCCTGGATTTGGTGGCTGACTGGTTCAGGCCAAGGCGAGAGATCGCCTAAGGCCACTTAGCGATCTGGCCAGGATCTCCTCCATCTCGGACCCACCCAACTAACAAACAGATTTATTGAACTCTATGATCCACGCAACTTGGAACCCCCTCTGCCATCTCCTACCAAACAGGCTAACATGTCTCACTTGCTTGATGGCCTCGATTGGATTCGATCTGATGGGTTCGCAAACCAACAAACTGTACCTACGCTAACGAGTCAGGTTCCAAGCTAATAGCAGCTTACTGGCTGCGCTCGCAGCCCACACCTAATGAAAATGTCAACCGAGTATCCCTCGTTCCAATCATATTTTGAGTTTTGAATCACCTCGTGGAGGAGTCGCGGACTCTCCACAGTCCTGTCATGGCATACAACCTGTGTGCGGGATAAAATCGAGATATCTCCGATCTCCGCAGATGCATCTCAGTGGAAGTTGAATCTCCCGACTCCTGTAACCCACGTACAGGCCGGAATTTCGCATCAAGCAGATACCAAATGAACCTATCGTATTCGCAAGAAAAAATCTCGGTTACCCCAGGAAAAAAGGGTGGCTGTTATAGCCCATTTTTGACGCCTTGACCAAGACTGGATCGCGACTCGCTAACGCCCCACCCCATCGCTTGCTAGCGAGGGTTGATCCGATCTGTAGATCCAATCCCGACAGCCATCGGCTTTCGTGAGATCCCTTATATATGGGTATATGGGGTTTCTCAATATATTCTTGGACCCCTCGTGCGAGTCTCCATAAAGCGGGACCGAGCGTGGGCTAAGGTCCTTGATGGCGCGCAGTCAGGAGCTGAAGGGGCAAAGTGGAAAGGAGCAATGAGACGATTCAGGGTTGATCCTTTGAGACCTAATTGAAGTTCAGCTGTCGTGCGTATGTACGCCACTGCCGAGCGGTTGGAGTTATAATATCCAAGTCTCCCTGTGGCCACCAGCCATCAGATCCATCTGGTTCAGACTCGACCCTTGGCACGTTCTCCTGATCAAGAATTTCTTTTTGGGTTCTCCATGCGCTATCCATCATAGCCACTCTGTAATCAGCTGGGACTCAGTATCGCCATCCAATCAATGCCTTGACCAGTGAGATCGGGTGCTCTTAACCCTCTTAAACGCAGCATGTTGGTCACTGGAGCCCCAGATGGGGGAAAATACATTGCCGTTTCTTACCTGTTGCGTCACATTATCCTCTCATGTGTGACCAGTGTGATGGGATGCATGACCACTCTTGAGCTTCTTCACAGACGCACATCTGCCTCCGGGTTCCACAATTGGTATGGTACACTAACCCTAGTCTAACGACCGGTTACTGACAAGCGGGATAGGTACTTGCTGCTCACATCCTCGATCGCAATGGGGGGAGTTGGGATCTGGAGCATGCATTTTATAGGGAATCGGGCAATCATCCTCGGCGATGGGGACAGTCACATCCAAATCTCATACAGCGTGCCCTATACAGGGCTATCATTCGTATGCCCTGTACTGATCCTGTTCACGGCTTTCTACGCCGGTGGGGCGAGTGAAAAGGCTGGTTACATTCGCATCATCTCGGGCGGTGTTTTGACGGGCGCCGCGGTCTTTGGGATGCACTACATTGGCCAGATGGGGATTTCCAACTACAACCTCGACTACCACGTCGGCAATTTTGTCGGCTCATTCATCATTGCAATCCTTGCAAGCACTGCGGCTCTGGGTATCTTTTTCCGATGGAAGGCTACATGGACAGGTTGCTGGTGGAGGCGTATTCTCTGTGGGCTCTTCCTCGCTGGTGCGGTGTCGGGCATGCACTGGACCGCTACCGTCGGCACCTTATACCGAGATTACGACAAGACTGTCAAGCCGACAGGCCAGGTATCTCGGAATCAAACTGCCATAATATGCTTTGTCTTTGTAAGTGCGTCGAGATGCATGCTATAGGTGCTTGTCTAACAACCACATGATAGTCCGCGATTGCCTGTGGAATCCTAACAGGCTGTGCTATAGTTGCTGGTGGGAACCGCAGACGACTGCGGACCCAGGCACAGCAGGTGACTCTCACGTGTGCTTTCTTCGATCATGCAGGGCGTATCATGGTCACGCCGCATGCGCTTCTTCCCAGTCGGAAAGTGGTGGACCGGTATGTTGGCAAGGTATGTGGATTGATGATAGCCTCGGGGGGTCCAGCTGCTGACATTTCGTGATGTAGACCTTCAACGACGACGATCTTACACGGACGCATCCTGCTTTCTTGTGGGCATTCCGCGCAAGCAGGAACTGGAATTTGGTGAAAGACGTGGTGCCGTTTATGAGAAGTCGGATCGAGTCGGACGAGACTCTGATGGAACACTACATCTCCAAGGGGATGGTCTCAGCGCAAGACACCGAGATGCAACCGGACTTTGATGGTCTGTTTAAACGACACTTCTGCGTGGCCGCACAGGATCTCGCCGACGAGGTTCGCCAGCCGCTCCAAGACCTGGGGATGCTGTACGACGATGTTTTGGCGACGACCACCCCGCGCTCCCACTTGTCTCGCATGATGGGCTACTCCCGGCTCCGTACCAGCAAAGGACAGGTGATGTTTACCGTGCGTAAACTAAGCAAGCAGGATGCATCACGGCTCGCAGGATCTGGATTCCGATTCACGACAATCGAGAACGTCACAGGGGTGCTTTCGCGTCGCATCCGCGTCCCCTCCGCGACGTTGGGCCTTCATCTGAAGGACATGCGAGACTTCGCCGCCACAAGCCGAGCCTTTGAGCCAGGCATTCATCTCGTGTCGTTCGTTCTGCGGCCAACTGTTCGCGATCGCTTCCAGGTCTTAACAGCGAAAGGCACAAGCAACCCCCTACCATCATCAACACTACAAATCAAGCGCCTTGACACGCAGCACCTAGCACTTCTCGCACACATGGAAGGCTGGACCATGACGGCATGCCTAAACTGGCTAAAATCAGACCGCGCCCGATTCTACAAAGACGTAGATGACTTCCCTTCGCAGCTCATCCACGCCATATCCTCCCTCAACGCGTCCCTCCCAACCGACGTCAACAGCGTCTCCAAATTCTCCTCACGACCTCTGATCGCCCCCTGCAGGGGACTCAGAGACTCCAACAGCACCAAAACCTGCACCCTCCTATCTTTCTGCACCGTCGCATCGCTCGACACCCGCGTCTCGAACCCAAACCTCACCTTCACCCCTCTCCGCCTCTTCCGCGTCCAGCAACAAGTTAACGACGGCGTCCCCGACAGCGACGACTTCACCAAAGAGCTGGGCCAAGACCTATTCTACTCGACAATCCGCTCAAACTTCGAAGCTCTCACCCCGTCGTCTCCCTCCTCCTCTTCTCCTTCCCTCTCTCCCTCCGCCCTCCGCTTCTGGCCAAAAAAGAACAAGAAGGAAAACAAAAACAGCAAACAACTTCGCATCGAACCCAAGCTCCTCTCCCGGGCCTCGTCAGTCTCAACCGAACCACCCCTCACCCCACTAGGCGACATCATGGTCCGCAGGGAGATTAAAGTCGACATCGCCAGGCCCCCCGAGCCAGCAGCGGATCTTGAGCAGGAACCACAGATCCTGGAGACGACTGTTGTGGCGGGGAGAATGGCGTGTAGCAATTATGTGGATGAGCTTTATAATTTGTGTTATTCGCCTGGGGTACGGCAGAGGCCGGATTCGGGGTTGCAGCATGTTCCTCGTTTTTATTCTTAACTTGGACTGGCTGCTCATATCTTGATCTTCGGCGCATTTAGGAGCCATTCTGTATAAAACTAGATTGATTTTCTAGGACGGCCGTAGATTTCCTCTTCGGGACACCGCCGCTTTAGTGAGGGTGCTCACTATGGATTATATTTAATTAAATAACAACTCTAGCACCAATAGAGTTATGAAGTACCGAAAAGGCGCCCAGGTCAGCTATGTATCCACCATTCCGGTCCACAGGAGCATAATCTTTCATTCACCTCCCTCCAGCTGCTTGAGCTAAGCAGGGCGCTCAACAAACAAGAAGACTCGTAACTCATGGCATTGGCCAAGATGGATTTTCTTCAATCAGAGAATCAGTAGGAGGCTGGATAGACTCACATGTATTCAGAACTAAGTTGTTTATTGTTTTGTCCTTTCAGAATTAAGTTGTTTATTGTTTTGTCCTTTTAAACATACCCATTACTATCATAAACTCCGTCATGGTGGGTGGATATGGCTTTTGCTCGAGGACTTGGGTAGGAAAGGAATCCATGTGAACAGCATCATTGATTACACAATGTTGGGCTATTCAATTGCTCAGTCAACGGGTCAGGCTCATAGCAGAGAGTATTATAGTTACCGCCTCCATCGATGTACCGGATGAAGTTCCGCGGAATTATATAAATCAGCAGGTGAGAATCTTCTGAAGTGCATCACTGGATGAGACGCGAAATCGTTGGAACCACCCGTGGTTGTAGTGACCTTATCTCACTGACCCCGCAGGGTCTAGAAACCTCATTTCTGGCCTCATGTCTTGCCCTATTTGGCAACCTTAACAGCATGAAGGCCTAACCGGAAGCCTAATCGCACTTCTTCCTATAATATTCTCTAGCCCACAGAAGCCGGTGAGTGATGATATAGTTCTTAGTATTAGCGCAGCCTTAGTATCATTGCATTGACCCCTCTTTCTTATTTGCCTGGAGGTATCAGCCTGGTTCTCGGCCATGCACCTTCTTAGCCACGACAAGCAAGCTGCATACAGATCTGCAATTGCTACCTAATGGAAATATGATGCTGCAGGGTTGTCTCTATCCTACTGGATGCTCGGGAGGGGTGTACTGCTTGCATTGTATGAATAAGAACTAACCTGTGCTTCTTGGCTGCGTTATTTTGCGACATCGTATGGACTTACATGCAACCGTGCCCGAGACATTGACAGTAATGATATCCATGTTGCTTGGCGCCTGGTTCATACATTGACTGTGACATCTGGGCTATCTATGGACAGCGGCTCCTTGATACTTATATCTACCCTCATTAGGAGTTCTGTAGACATCTCATTTCACCAAATCTCGGCATATGTTTGACTCCATTGTTGGTGTCATATCTGAACATTCCACATCCGAATCCGTCTTTCGCCATGGTTCAGCTCTGTAGGGACCCGGGAAGTAACAACTTGCATCTTGTGGACCGTCTTTGCGAGGCTCTGCAACAGATAGGGACTTTCTCCGTCTCCGAATATGTTCAACAGCTTCAGGAACATGTCAGCAATGTTAGTGGGATAGACACTCTGCTGTCAAATGTCAGCGCTGGGTCGCCACGCGAACCACTGCAGGGCGGGAAACATCTCTCAAGTGCAGACGCAAGACCACTAGTTCAAACCCTGGCACACGCGTTCGTCGCTCGTGCATTGTCCAATGTTCCGTCATCTGACGATCCGTACGGCTTTCGGAATTGCATCGACAAGGTAAAAATGACTGATACCCCCAAAACCGAGCCTGTTAGATACCTTGCACCCGACTGACCCAATTGCCGTATTAGGAGTTCGCGGACATATCACTGATTGACTGCATAACGCGCTTGACTGGGTACTGCTATGCGGACTATCTCGACCGGCACCTAGTGCAGCAGCAGCTGCCGACCCTTGGCGACCTGCAGCAACGACCTGGGTTTTGTGACGCTTTCTACGAATATTTTCTTCGTTCAGAAACACTCGAAGACGACGTGACGTACGACGGGGAAAACAACCATGATGCCTATAGTTCTAGCATGATTTTCATTGCAAACTATTTCATGCACGATGCGACCCCTAAAATCCATGTAGCCAGTGAGATTTGGGACACACAATTTGGCCAACTTGAGTCCGCACGCATCCTGAGAAGACTAAGTACAGGGATGGATGCACATTCTGTTGTTCATCCGGCGGCTAAGGCGCTATCCATGAATTACGGATCACTGCAGCGAACCACATCATATGTGTACCTGCGCCCTCCAACCGCGGACGATATCAGCGAGCCATTCCGACACATACCGCTGCACGACGAAGCCAGAGAGACGATAACTGACATCCTCGACTTGGGTTTTGAGTTTGGTGACTGGAAGTCCAAGGGCCATTCATTGCTCGAGTGCTGGAACAGCCAAGAATACCCCTATCAGCAGGCCATTCGCTCCCACGTCAAGGCTGAGGTACCACACTATGAGGACGCACCACCCATCTTTTCCGGGGAGTCATCAATGCCACCTCCTCAAGTGACAGTCGTGACGGTAGTAAAGGGAGAGAGAATCAAAGAATGGATAAACCAAGGTGAGTACTGGATCACCAGTCTAGGGAAAGTACGGTGGCGCTAATGGTGTTCAATTCCAGTCCGATCGAGCTACCCACGCATTATTACCAGTGCTGCCCCGCAAAATTGGACCAGATCGCCGGTCAGTTCGGGTGCATCCTGTTTCGTGGGAGGAACGCAAGTGATTACGCGCGACGGGACTAAAAATATCGAGGATTTGAGAGAGAATGACTGGTTAGTGACGGATGGGGAGAAACACGAATTTGGGCTCGTATCAGACGAAAAGGTCGCCACGCCAGTCAAGTCGCCCCTTATTCATGGTTTCAGTAAGTTAAGATACATGTCATTTGACCTCCTTTTTGTTCTAGATCCTAATGAATGTCCCTTGTCAGACAATGGGGCCCCCTTCTTTACCGCCGGCCACGTCTTCCATACGACAACTGGCCGACGGGCGGTCGATCCTAACCTTGCGATGAAGGAGAATCCTTGGCTCGACGTTGGCCGACTTTCCGTGGGACACGTGCTTTATCGTATCTCCCCTGGCTCTTCGAAATATGAGGAAGTCCCGATTGAGAGCATACATTCGCAGCGGATGCCAGAGGTTGAGTATGTCTACGGGGTTCATCTGAGAGAGGGCCGCCGGCGATACCACGCAAACGGATTTCTGGTAGCTGTGAACTATCCTGAGGTGAGTGGTTGCGGCTAATTTCTACGACGCTGTTGCAGTGCTGACCAGCCTAAAAAAAAAGATAACCATGAAAGGCATCGCCAAGATGTTAGATACGATTCCCCCACAAAATCGCGTTTCGATGCTGAGGGCTCTCCAAGAGCTCTCCCCTCTGTTCGAGCGATTCGGGATCGCCACTGTGATGGACCGTTTCCATGAAGAACTACACAAAGAGTCCACCGGTTCAATAACGCGACTATACACGGTCAACTCAAATAGTCTGGCTGACCCTAGCCATCGGATGGTGAGGTTCATTCCGGAAGAAATCCCAGGGGAGAACTACGAGGACATGCCTACTCCTCTACCACACCTTACTCTGAGAGAAGGGGTGGCTTCCATCGACGACAAGATCTGTGAAAACGTGACACTCGACAAACAAACCATATATTGGACTAGGAAGCTGGAAGGCCACCAAATATTCGAGCATGGATTACTTCAGATCGATTCTATCTCGGCGGCTCATGGCCGGATTTCATACTCCCGGGATATTGGGAACCTAGTGCCCGCGTCTATTACGGAGAAGCAGTTCTTTGCTTTTGCGCTGCATTTGGATTCCCCTCCGTCGTACCTGGACACTGTGAGCAGTGATTCCCCTCCGCCGGTCTACTCAGGTCAGCGAACCCTAGCAGATGGCACCGGACGAAAAAACCCGCTTCTTCCTCCCAAAACCCATAACATGATCTTCGGCAGGGACCACTGGAAGGCTGGAGAGATACACCTTAGCGATCCCCTCCCCTTTGGAAGTATTGAACTTGCGTTCTACCGTCAGGAAGACGGTGCTGAGCATTCTCCAAACTTAGTCGCTACAGTGCCGGCCCTTGATGACCTCTTTTGCACCATCAACCATAACTTCACCGATCCAAAGGTCGGACAATTGGAACAATTCTATACGACTGCCCGTGTGAAATCGAAGGATGGAAAGGGGACCGAGAAGATCCGAATAGCGATGACTCGTCATGCCCTAGAGCTGCTCTACGAGATACAGGATCCGCGGCTCGAGATGGAGGAAGACAAGAATCCCCACAGAGTAACGTTTAAAAACAATCTGAACACTGACGTGTCACTCGGAATGCTTTTCAGCTCCTTGGAATTTACCCTAGGACCCGATCATACGACGGCAACTGGATCTATATGGGAGTACGATCCCAGGACGGCCACCAGACAAGGCACAAGGTAAGCCTAACCCTCCGGCAATATATATATATATATGAAATATAATGATACAGATGAAACTAATTAAATGACGTATCTTAACAGACATACTCTGATCTCCGACCCCAGCTCGATCGCAAGAGGACGGAAAATCGCGACTCGTCGAGAGGCCGTGGCAGCAGCTAAAACAATCCCTCATGACAGCCGTGATGCAAGTACACCTCACAAGCCGGCAACACAAGCCGCTCAATCCCCTCGCCGTGTTAACCATCTCAACAAAATCCGTGAGGCTGAAAGTTGCAATGCCAACGATGTGAGTGGAGCTTATCTTTACCCGATACTATTGCGCACAGTTCTAACTTCCCTTGATCGCTTCTCGCCCCAGCTGGATGCAACTACTCGGATGCTGCTTCAGAAGGCTATGTACTACCATATGAAGTCCCAAGATCGGGAGCAAATCTACGGATCTGAGCAACCCGAGGTCCCTGATAGTCTGGGAAAGAATTTGCCTAGCTCCCTGAGTAGCTGGATTTGCGGTACTTACGCTCCAGCATTCACCGCGCTTGAGATCATGAAGTCGGTCCCTACCAAAGGCTGGACTACCACTTTCACCGACGAGGAGAAGGCCAGAATCAAGTATTTTTGGACGGGCCAGGTCTGAGTTTACTACACCTCATAATCCAGCCACTGAGGAAACGTACGGCTAATTTTCTGTCACAGGGTTCGAAGTGTCTGGCCGGGTCTAAAGAATATAAGCAGCTTAACCGGATGTGCGTCCGGGAGGCCATGCTTAAGCTAACCAAACTCAATGATTATTTGGATAAAGGTCCTAAATGGGCTACCGCTTATTACAACGACCTGTGGGATAACAGACAAGACGACATCCTTTTTGAGATTGGTGACAACGGCTCTGTAAGCCAACAACCCCCAGCAAACAATCGTTGATTCGACTCTCCGAGCACTGACAAAAGGAAATTTATCATGTAGAGAGAATCTCTGGACAAATACTGCGTCATTCTTGACGTATTGGATCCGGATACCAATTACTCCCGAATGCTGTACGATGCGATCTGTGCGAAGGCAGATGCAGCTTTCAGCTCGGCTCCGAGCGACATTAGTGTCGATGACGTCCCTTGGATACCAAAGGCCCTGACATGGTTAAGAGAAGGCCTTGCTCAAGAGAAAGGAGACATAGATCCGGAGCTACGCACAGCCCTTCTGAAGGACTTGCAAGAATTTCTCAGGGAGCAAGGTGTGGAATCTGCACGGCTGTCTGAGAGACTTTCGGGGTCGGCGAACTCGGAGCTCCTGAACACACTGTTGAAAGCTCCACACTTTTGTGAGGCATTCAAGGGTTTTGGCCGTGGGATTTGGTATCGAAGCACCACTGTAGCAATAGGAGAGCCCCATTTACATTCGATGAAGCTATCACATGCAGGTGGGAAAATTGGCACACTGCTCAAGGTAAGTAGAGCATCTGAAAACCCGAAAATGATTCCCGGATAAGGGTGGAAATAACAGCAATAGTGCCTTTTCGTCTTCGGGATCGGGGTTTTCGCTTACTATGGCCCAAAATTAAGCCCGGGAGAGATCGGACAGTTAGGAACCAACATCGGGTCCAGTGTGCTGAATATTCTCTCTCCGCATATTGTCAAGCAGGCCCCACGCAGCGCATTGGCCGCAGAGATAGAGCTCGCGGTGATAGGCGAAAAGATTGAAAAGGCACCCCGGAACTGGGGGAAAGCGGGTCTCGAAGCCAAGAGAGATGAAATCTACAGCGAGATCGTGAGTGAGCTGATGCATAGCGAAGAAAACGCGACTGTTTCTTTCTTTGCCCGCATCCGCGCTAGAATCGGAATTCCCGCCGCTGTCCTGCGCATATTAGGGATTGCTTTGGGGGTGGCGTTCGTTGGCTTTTTGGTCTGGGACCTTGTGGCCCACGGAAACAAAATGTCCACCGCCCAGCAAGCACTCGCTGTGCTTCAGATCGTTCTGGAGTTGGCCGTGATCATTTGTGAGGTCGCCTCCATGCTGACTGCTGTGGCATGGATCCCAGTTGTTGGTCAGATCCTGGTGATTGCAACCCTGATAGTGAGCATCCTCATTATGATATTCGGGGATACCGAACACCAAGCAACCCCCGGGGAAAAGTTTGTCGAGAGTATGCGGGACTCGTCAAGCTGGTTGGTAACGATGGACGATCCCCCGACACCCCTTCTCACTTACAGTATCAACCAAAGCAAGGGACGCCAGAACTCAGAAGCTACCATCGAGATCACTGCGTCGAATGCAATCAACAACGATCTGACGCTCCTCGATCCAGACGCCCAATTCAATCACGCAGGAGCTCCCGCGACGGATACTCTGATAAATATCAGCCTGGAATTTACCGAGGGCACTGATAAATCTTGTCTTTTCGCTCATAGTGGCCCCTCGCGTGCTGACGCGCTGGAGTGGGACGTCAATGTTCCAATACCCAACGCCTTCGAGTTCGGCATGTCCGAGCCCAATGGGAAGTCTGATTCTAGAGTGATATGCCATCGGGTCTGGACATCGTCTAGGCGAACCGAGGCTCAGGTGGGCGCAAAACTCAAAGCCAGAGAGCAGATCCGGTTCAAGGTTAGTGGCCAATTGAACAAGGCGGGCACATCAACTCTTACAGTCACGGAAAAGCGTCCGGGGGCAATGGATTGTGTTCAAGAGTTTACGTATGAGAAGGAGTAATTGTGAGCGATAAACACTAGCTTACTGGCCCATTTACTTTTGGCGGGGAAGAGGGGGGGAGGGCGCTTTTTCTTTCCCATTCACTGTGTATCTCCGTCTTAAGCCCACCCATTTCAAGATCAGTATATTAAACTTGAACAACCACCACATACGCAAAGCTAGACCCTCTCAATCCATGCCTTCTCTGTAACCCGGGTAGAGAGGTCCCAAGAAGTCGGGTTCTCTGTGGAGACAGATTAGGTTGAACGGACATGAATCAACCCCACTGGGGCTTAGGCAGAAGCAAACTAGTTGAGAGAGCTTGGAAGAGCTCGTTGCTGGCTTTCAAATCTTTTGTAAACTAGTCAGCAGATGCCGAGTAGGCTGAAGATGCGAGGGTAACGGCGAAGACCGACAAAGTTGCCATGCCTGCCATCATCCGTTAAGCATCATGGCGACGCGCAATCTGCTACTCTCAGCATGTGGTCAGCTGACTCTGCTACACTAGGATTTATGCGGATTCTACCCCGTGACTTTTGAGTATGCGGCGATGTACAATTCTTGTCCCTGAGGAGTGCAGGCAAGATTTCTAGAGGATAAGGAGTAGATTTACGCGGTTTGCTGTTGGGAGGAGCTTTGAGTTGCTGGGTAGGGGGGGGGAGCTTCTGGAAGAGTCCTGTTTCCCGATTAATTGATCGCTGGGCCTTTGATTTCTAGAGGTTTAATGGAGGGAGATGGGTATACTATGTGCTGTTGTAGTTGTTTGGTGGTTCTATCTGTATCTACCTGGGTAGTATAGGATAGATGAGTAGGTAGGTAGATAGGTAGGTAGTAGGGAGTAGGTAGTAACCGCTCCAACATTGTAATAAGCAGTAAGGTATCCCTTAGCTAACCCCACAAGTACGTGCGATCATCGCGGAATCTATCCGGCACAAAAAAGAAAAGAAAAATGAAGAAAAACCTGCTAATGCAATCAAATCAATCATCCGCCCAACCGGAGTATTGTGTGCACCCAAATGCAAAAACATGGTATGGTAGTTCATCCATTGATTGAAAGTCCAACACCGCTAACGCCTCACCGGTCGAATAGAATGGAATAGAATAGAATAGGATGTTGGTCGTGCTCTCGGAGCGGGGGGATATGAAATGTGTAGTGGATCGAAAGTGACATCTTCGAGTTTGGTAATGGAGGTGATGATAACGAAACAGATATGAAATAAAGAAAAGGAATTCATCAATCGCTCACAGGATGCTGTAATGACGGGGACCGGAAGCATGTTCGTCCCCAACGCCGGGCAATGCGAACCCCATGTATGTATCGTAACTTCGTATGAGACTCGAGATGACAGTGCAGGAGTAGGGTAGGTATGGTAGGGATGTAGGCAGATAAGGCGGGTAAAAGAGGGGTAAGGGGAAGGGAAGATGATAAACCGACTAGATAGCAGGGGAGTTGCGGCTCCGACTGATGCGCTTGCTGCGCCGTGGCTTTTGTTCATCGGACGGAGTTGCACGAGAAGCAGTCTCCCCAGCCTCTACGGCCTCTCCACCCTCCACATTCTGCGTCTGGTCCAGAGCAACAGGACTGGTCCGGGAGACCAAGTCGCTTTCTGCCGGCGGGGCCGGCTCAGGAGGGGAATGCTGCACCGTTGCGTCCGGGCTGACCCGCAGACGGAGCGACACCAGGTCATTTCGGTCATCCCGAAAGGCAATCCCCACGGTCACATCCGGGAGGATGCGTCGCTTCTGGTCGCGGGTGCGCAGGCGGCGGTTCGCAGGTCGGGGATCTTCCTCGTCGGTATCGTCCGCCGAGCGTTTGCTGCCTGTACTAAAAGGCGACGAAGACCGCGACGACGGCTGCAGACGCGTTTTCATGATAGCCCGGGGCGCCGGAGCGTCAATGGCGGGTCCGCCTTCACTGATGAGGTTGCCAAAAGCACTGTCAATGTTACCACGGCACTGCTCCAGCATATCCACGATGACGGCCCGGTCATACTTGCCACCGAGCCCCTCCTGGATTGCAGAGATCTTCCACGGAGTGGCCACATCGACGACCGCGTTGGCGACCGTTGTTGCCTCCTTTTCGGCCTCTTTGCTGATCTTGGGGATACAGGGCAAGCCGGTGCGGGGACCATTGAGGTGGCGCACCGAGGAATAGTGATTGAAGTCCTGGGACAGGTTAGTCTTTCAGGACTGTAAGAATGGGAAGAGATACCTACGTGAAAAGAAACGTGGACGACGTCCCGTTCCTCCGACTCCGGAGCATGGACGTCACGGAAGTTCTGCACACCATACTCGGTGTACACGTTGACATCCATCTTGAACGACTGACAAAAAGCCTGTATCTCCTCCGCCCCTCCCCAAACACCAGCTTTCCTAGATTCCGCCACTTTGGTATCGAAGCTTCGATCCTTGTCTTTGGAGGACGGTGGGGCGGGGCTGGCCGAGGCGGACGACCGATGAGACGCGTACTTGGCAGCCGAGGCGGCGGCGCGCCGAGGAGCGCGACGCTCACCCCCGACAGCCGGAATGAAATTCATAAAGTATTCTTTATTGGCACCGATGTGATCGGCGAGACGGACACGGATATCCTCGGCATGGCCAAAGTCACCGAACACTTGGTCGGAGAGGGCGTAGTAGAGGCAGTTCCCTATGTGCGGGTCTAGTCAGAAACAGCTACCACCCCCCGAGACCGGGGGACCCCATTGGCGCGAGAGAAGAGCATTACCATCACCCTCTGTGGGAAGAGCGTAGAGGTCCAGCTCCTTGAGACACGACAGCTCGAGACATTCGGGCTCGACGGTCATGGTACGCGTCTTGCGGGTGGGTTTGGACGGACGGGCGGAACGGTGTTTGTGGTGTTTTTTCTGGAGGGGCGGGAGATCGACGGAGGCATCGTCGGAGGAGGTTGACGAGGAGGACGAGGTAAAGGAGGAGGAGGACGGCGTGGTGGAATTGGTAGAAGATTGAGGCGTGTCGACTATGGGGACGATACGCCCACCGTGAGGAATATCGGCCATGATTGTAGCAGCTCTGCCCGACGAAAGACCCTCATTTGGGAGGCAGCAGAAGAAGAGAGAGAGAGAAGAAGAAAAGAAGAAGAGAGCTCCGTCGAGCAGAGTTCAAGGAAGAGAAAGCAAAAGGGGGTTGGTGAGGTAGACAATAGGTAAGAGTTGCAATAATGAGTGAATGAAGACGTAGGCGAGACAGCAATGAGTGAATCTCGATGCGTCCGGGTTGCCGGATGGTCGCTACCAGACGGGCGATTGGATCGGAATATCGAAGGGTTCAGTTGTGAAGATGACCAACAGTGTCATTCACTCATCACGATCACTTCTTCTGTAATCAGTATGATAGGGATCTCTCCTTTCTATACCTCTGAGACTTTCCACTTCCTATAGATCGATTGATACTTGTACTGTTGTGAAGTCTTTTTTTTTCTCGGTCGGAGAACTGCGGAGGTCGGTAACTTTGGTATGGTCACTTTGGTCTGGTACGGTAAGGAACAGCAGGCGGTGAGAAGATTTTTATGCTGTCATTGGTTTATGTCGCGACAGGATCTCCACCAGATGACGAAACGCGTCACTTTATATTGAGATGACCCAGTCAAGCGTGCCCAATGCAGGAGATGACTTGTCTGCTCGAGGAGATCGGCTGAAGAATCACGCATGACCCCATGACAGTTGATCAATTAGGTAGATGGCTGTGACCTGTTGCAGTGTGGGAGTCTATTTGACTGACAGGAATAGCATCATAGCTTGGTCATTGTACATTGTATCAGTTATAGTATATTGTACCTATTGATACACCTCCAGCTAGGGCATCACCCCTCTATGCACACGATGCGAGGGACAGTCCAGCTACCAATCAGATGCCATAAAATGACCTGATCATCCAGTACCTACTCAGGCTTATCAGCACTATCGGTAGAATAGGGCATGCCACCAACCTCGGATAAACGGCGACAAATGGGCTGGACTCATATCGAATGGGGCTAGTCGCTTGACTCATCCCCAGGATCTCGTGGGGAATTGGGCTGGGGAATTGGGCTGGGGAACTGGGGATTCATCCGACTTAGCCCATCCACCATCCTCAAAAAATGGCACCCAACAATATTGTAGTCCTGGGGTAGGATACACATACTTCCTGCGATATATCCCTCATCATCCCACACTAATGCGCGAGTAGAGCCGGCGTCTCAGGCCTCACCACCGCCTACCTCCTCTCCAAAGATGCCTCCAACTGCATCACCGTGGTCGCCAAACACATGCCCGGGGACTACGACATCGAGTATGCCTCTCCCTGGGCCGGCGCCAACTACGTTCCGTCCGTGCTTCAAGGGTATTTTCTTATCTCCCACTCTCCTGACATCTCCCACCCGTTCCAGGCTAATCAGCACAGAGTGGGCCAAAGCAACCCCGTCCATGAGACCCGGGAACGGAATACATGGCCTTTCTTGAAGGAGCTAGCTGAGAAGCATCCCGATGCAGGCATTCACTTTCAAGGTATGTTCTGCATCATCGTATCACTCCAAATCATTGGAAGCTAAGCTGACGGGCCGATCAGACTCAATTGGCTACATACGCAAGACCGACGAGGGCTCCTCGAACGGTTCCTCTGTCGCAGCAATCAGGCAGCCGTGGTTCAAAGACGTTGTCCCGGATGTATGCGCACCGCACCACTGTCTACCAGCATTAACAGCTAACTCTATATCATCTAGTTCTGCGGGGTCCCTCAAGACCAACTTCCCCCCGGAATCGCCAGCGGCAGCAAGTTCACCTCCGTCTGCATAAACACCGCAATCTACCTCCCCTGGCTCGCCAGCCAATGCCTCCGCAACGGGGTAATCTTCAAACGCGGGGTACTCCCCCACATCGCAGACGCCGCCAACGCGCACCACACCGGCCAGCGCGCGGCCCTAGTAGTCAACTGCACCGGCCTCTCCTCCAAGACCCTCGGCGGCGTCACCGACAACAACCTCTACCCCGTCCGCGGCCAAATCGTAATCGTACGCAACGACTCGGGCGCAATGGCCGCCATCTCAGGCGCGACGGACGATGGGCCCGACGAGCTATGCTACATGATGACGCGGGCGGCGGGGGGCGGCACCGTGCTGGGCGGGTGCTACCAGAAGGACCGGTGGGAGTCGACGCCGGATCCTAACCTCGCGGTGCGGATCATGAAGCGTGCTGTGGCGCTGCGGCCGCAGTTGGTTGGGGAGGGGCAGGGCATTGAGGGGTTGGATGTTGTGAGGCATGGGGTTGGGCTGCGGCCTGTTAGGGAGGGAGGCACGCGGATTGAGGTTGAGAGGGTGGACGGGGTGGCTGTTGTGCATAATTATGGGCATGGGGGGTTTGGGTATCAAGCTTCTTTTGGGTGTGCGGGGGAGGCGGTTGCTTTGGTGAGGGGTGTGCTGCGGGAGGCGAAGTTGTAGATTCACTCCAACTCTGAACATTGTGAGGAGCACACTCAGTGCCAGACAACTAAGCTTAGAGTAGCTAGCGATATTACGTCGAAGACTAGAGTCAGACAATGACGTTCTAGAAGTCTACACTGCACTGCAAAGTAGACCCCAACGAGACCTCATCATAACGACGTCACCACCACCACCGTCTCTAATATAACTAACCCCAGCTATCTCCGCACACATTCTTATCATCATCAATCAAGCATTATTCTATTAATTCGAACTAAAACGAGAATAAGGAAGAAACACATATATTATCCAAAATGAGATACCACCCCCCCGTCGTCGAAGAAGAAACATCTGACACGGAAAACATGGAGCCTCCCAAGCGGAAGCGCCCCGAGAAACCGGACGGACAGACCCCCGCAAGCCTGGAGCCTGATTTTGAGGAGAGTGGACAGGCGGGGCAAGAACAGCGCGAGCCGCCTGCGAAGGTATCTAAAGGTTCTGCGGCGGGTGGCTCAGAGGGGGCCGCCGGGGAGAAGAAGACAGAGGAGGAGAAAAAACCGTCTAACTGGCCGCATAAGGTCCCTGTTGACGTGGAAGAGGATCTTGGGGATGAGGAGGATGAGGTTGATGAGGGAGGTGGAGGTGAAGCTGAAGCTTACGGGGATCCTGGAGAGGACTACGAGGTTGGGGATGTAGAAGGAGAAGAAGAAGAAGAGGAAAAGGAAGAGGAGGGCGAGAACGCGGACGAAGTGGAACTCCTCGACGAAGAACAACCCGGCAACAATGACGTCGACGACAAAGATCTCGAGAACCAACTGGAGCGCGAACTCGGCAGAGACACCGAAGACGACATGCGCGACGATACCAACGAGGACACGCCCCTCGGCGACGAGCAAGACCAGCCCGACGAGGCGTCTACCAACGGACCCAAGGTGCAGCGAACGGTCGAGCAGTTTGGTCGGACGCCCCTGCACGGCACTTCTCTGGCCGAGAAGCCTTTGACCGCGACGCCGGATACGCTCCTGGCGATGCTGCTGGATGCGATGCTCAAGTCGCGGCCCATCTCGCACGATCTTTCGCAGCGAGCTGTCAAAAAGGTGCTCGATGAGGGATATCACGATATCCAGACGCTGGGGGATAGTAGCTGGGAGGACCGCACGGGCGTGTTGCGCGACGGCGGGTATAATCGGTATCGGGAACAGGGGGCTACTAATTTGGGGGAGGCGGCGCAATTTATCAGGGAGAAATATGGTATGTCAACCACTCCTCCTTGGATATGGTGGTTACCCAGACTTCTCCAACTAACCGATGTAGATGGCGATCTGAATAACCTCCTCGAGTCCGCGCATCATGACCGGGGTGAAGTGCGGGACCGCGTCAAGGAGTTGAAAGGACTCGGCGATATGGGCGTGGACCTCTTCTTCAACAACGTGCAGAGCGTCTGGCCAGAGATTGCTCCGTTCCTCGATCAACGGAGTCTGCAGACAGCCGAACAGGTGGGCATTGGCAGGGATCTGAACAGCATCTTTGAAGAACTGGAGGGAGACGCTATGCAGATGAGCCGGTTGGCGAATGGGCTGTCGACCATTCGGTTGGAGAAGAGACAGGATGCGCTGATGGGATTGTAATGATCTGGAGAAGTGATCTGTATTCAAGTAGTCATGTCTATAACCATATCCTGGATATTTGATCAGTTGGAAGTGATATCAAATCCAACCTACTCCTTGACTATCATATGGAGTAATGGTCAGCCCTATCGATAACGTATTAAGGAGTAAAAAAAACGGACCCATTCCGGTATGGTATGGAAAGATTGCTAGTCAGCATCCTGGTGCAATGGATTCATGTCGATCCGTATCTCCAGTCCAGCCCCCATGCCACAAATACCCCGGTCCAACATCCTGGAAAACAACCCTGGCTGTCTTTGTCTTTATTGACTATTCTAGACCATTGGTGTACTGAGACTAATAACCAATAACGATCACTCCCTAATCTAGCGGAATGTCGACCATCCGTTTATAGAAACAATGACCACGTGAAAGGCGGATTCGGCGGCTGACTCAGCGCTTGGCAGACCCACCGCCGACGACGGCGCAAAACAACAACTGGATGAGCTGGGGAGCCTTGTTGTCTCCTTGATTTCTCCGTCCGCATCTTTCCCTCCCTGCAATCGTGCTGTATGCTTTCTCTTGACCACAGGCGATCCCTTCTTTTCTACCTCTGTAAGTGTCTGATTGTCCTGGTCGGGTCATTCCTCAGCGGTTACCCTGCGCTTTCTCCGTCACGCGACAGTCGGTCCACCGGGCTGTTAGGCGACGAGAATCCAGGCTCGGGTTACGTGTGCTGTGATGAGAGCCGTCATTTGGAATTTGGACTAGACTAACATGCCTTCGATATAGAATTCAGAACAGACGTCCGTCATACCGTCCCGCGCACCGGATCGATTCATCAAGCTGCATCTGCCGATTCTATAAATAGACGGATTCTTCAAACCGCAGACATGGATTTCTCCAACATCTTGTATGTCTAACCGGATAACACCTTGTGGTTGTGATGGGTGGACTCGCTGACACCGTTAGTCGGATTGTGAACATCGCCGTGGGCGTGATCATGGTTCTGGGCGGCATCGCTCAGTTCTTCCCCCCGTCCATGGGCTCCATCATCGTTGGTGCCTATGTGATTGTCTTCGGCCTTCGTATGTCCTCTGCTTAATACTCTGCTCGACTTATTATAAATACTGACTCCGACTTAGTTGTTGGTGGCCTGGAATTCCTGCCCACCGTCCCTGACTACGTGTACCGTTACGCTTCGTTCCTCTTCTCTTTCCTCGGCCGGGGCGCTTGTAAGTCGCTATCATTCCCTCATCCCCATACCCCACTAACCCATCGCAGTCTACATCTTTGTCGGATCGATCATGCTGCACGGTCACGTCCTGCGCTACATCGCCGGTTCGCTGGTCGGCTTCGTCGGTGTCGGCTACCTCGCTCTGGAATTCGTTCCCTCGATCGAGCCCCCTTCGAACATGCGCGAGTCCGACCAGGGCTGGGGCGCTGAGCAGGTCTAATCGACCTTTTGTGGAAAATGAACCAGAACGCGGTGATCTCTAACAAGAGATTAAACCGCATGACTTGATCGTCGGCCCGAAAAGAAGAGATGGTGATAGGCATGGTGGAGCGGTTTCCTTAACGCTATCGATGTACGACGTACGACAAGTGCGATGATACGATAATTCTTTTTCCTTCATGGTGATGTTTTGGACTTGGACTCCTGACGTGGCATGATCTTGACTTGGACTAGCATTGTCATCTCCGGATGGACTTATACCGATATCTATTTTGTACTTTTGATTGTCTGTATCAATAGTAGATAATTGCATCTTCATCCGTTTATGGGTTGGTATACGCATCAAGACTGCATTATAGATGTATACCCTGGTAGGCTGGGATATTGAAGTAGAATCCTGTAGGCTATACTACAGACATCTGCGTCCTTTTCTGCCGGATCATTTGGGAACCTTCTTCTCATTACCTCCAATTCAACGTACGCTACAACAAAAGGACCTTCTATCCTCTTCTCCTTGTGCATACTACTATCCTAGACCTACATTCACTCTCAAATACAGGGAAACGAAAGGCATACCCTTAAGGAGAAGATTCCCAGTTACATACTTCCATGTGTAATAAGTCTAAATCATCAGAAAGTCCACGCTCTTATCATACAGATGATAGAAAAAAAGAGGCTGATACAGAAGCTGTCTTCAACGGTAGGGCTGTCTCGATCTCGGTTCGGCCCGAGTGATGATGACTTGAGCTGCCAGTCGGGATATACTATATCAGCAAGTGGCGTTAACCATACTCACATAGATACCCTTTCTCTCCAGAACTCCAGATAATCCTACCCCATCGACTCCCTCCCTCTCACTATCAGAGAAAAGAGAGAAACAGAAAAGAGATCGACAAAATGAAACCCAAAATCCTAACCCTAACCGGCGACGTCATGCTCGGCCGCCTCATCGACCAACTCCTCCCGCACCCCGTCCCGAACGCGCCCCCCTCCGAACGCAACCTAATCCCACACCTCCGCCTCCAACACGCCCACCTAAAGAACTACACGCCCTCCTCCCCCTGGGGCACCGCCCTCCCTCTCCTCCTCCACGAATCCGACCTAACCCTCATCAACCTCGAAACAGCAGTAACGAACACATCCTCACCATGGCCGAACAAGGTCTTCAACTACCGCGCGTCGCCGGAGAACGCGTGTGCCGTGCTGCGCGCGGCGTGTGTTGATTATGCGGGGCTGGCGAATAATCATGCGGCTGATTTTGGGGAGACGGGGTTGGAGGAGTCGGTTTGGGCGGTTAGGGAGCGGGCGGGGGTTGCGAGTGCAGGGGCGGGGAGGGACCCTGCGGAGCCTGCTGTTTTGCGGTTTCCTAGGCTTGCATCCGCTGGTGGTGGTGGTGGTGGGGAGAAGATGAAGCAGGGGGAGGAAGGGGGAGAAGGGCTCACTATCCATGTATACGCCGCATCAGACCACCCCACAGCATGGGCAAACCTGCCCACCTTCCACTTTATAGACTACAGCGCAGAGACGCGCGTGCGGCTCAAGACACTCTTGACAGGGTCATTTCCCTTCCCCTCCAGCGGTGAACAGCCGCAGCAACAGGCACAACCAGACATCAAAATATTCTCTGTCCACTGGGGCCCAAACTACACCTGGCAGCCCGCATCCGAAATCCAACACCTAGCACACTTCCTCATCGACGAGTGCGGCGTGGACATTGTACACGGACACTCCGCGCACCACGTGCAGGGCGTGGAGGTGCACAAGGGGAAGCCCATCATCTACGGGTGTGGGGACTTTGTGGATGATTATGCGGTTGATAGGCGGTTTCGGAATGATCTGGGGGGTGTGTGGAGGGTTGTTTTCAAGGAGGGAGACGAGGGGGATGAGGTGGGGAGAGCGAGGAAGAGCAGGTTGGTGATGGATAGGGTGGAGGTGTTTCCGACAAAGTGTGAGCTGTTTCAAGTGAATATGTTGGATCCTGGGGAGGAGGATCATGAGTGGGTTGTTGAGACTATTGGGAGGTTGAGTGGGGAATTGGGGACAAAAGTGCGTTCGGGGGAGAGGGGTCAGGTTGTCGTTGAATTGTAGTTTAGCTTCTTTCTTCTTTCTCTTTTCATGGTGTTTGTTTATTCCTAAAATGGTATGGGATTAATGATTCTTATGAGATATGGAATGAGGTATAAGAGTAGTTGCATCGTCGTTGATTCATTAGAGGAACAAAAATATACTAAACATGGTATCAACATAAGACCCAGACAGGGCGAGGCAATCGTGAACAAACACGACCAGTAGATAAGTAAAGAAAAGTGAAAGAGAGACAGCTCAATAAAAAGAATGAAGAAGAGGGTTAAACCCCCAACACCAACCTCCTCTGGCTTGAATCCTCCCGCCCACCAGACGACTCCTGCATCATGGTAGTAGTAACCTCAATGCCACTCGCCGGGTTTGAATGAGCCTCACCCGACTTGACATCAACATCGATAGTGCACATGCCGAAGTCGCGGTCCTGCGAGAAGAGCTCCATGCGCGGACGGGAGCGGCTAACGCCGGTCTTGTTGCGGGTGGTGGTGTTGTTGTAGTGGTTGTAGCTGCGTGTGGAGAGCAGTTTGGGGAAGAAGCGGCTAATGAGGGGGCGGAGGAAGGGGAGACAGGCGCAGATGATGGCGACGTTGCATTCGGCTGCTGTCCAGTAGGCGGCGCCGACGTTGCTTTCTGTTTGATGTTAGGGGTGGGTTGGTTGGGGGGGTGATTGTAGAGTGGAGTGGGTACTCACTGGATGTGTCGGTGGCCCGGGCTACCTCTCGGAGACTTTGGAGACGGAGGATACTGGTGATGACCACGCTGTGATAGGGTCAGTATCGGAGAAAGCAATGTAGTGGTAATCAGGGGTGCATACAGAATGCCAATGGCGAAAATACCCATAAGTCCAACCTTCTGCATCCGCGGCAGCTGTAGCCGCGAAAGGAGCGGCATCGGCAGGATAAACAGCGCCACATCGGTAACGATATTCATAGACGCGTTGAAGAACCACACGATCTCAAAGTCGAGACACCCGCCGGGGATCTCGCGGTCCCAGAACTTCGCCACCGGCACGCAGTTGACGTAACCGCTCAGGACGGCCCAGGTGGTGTACAGTGCGACGATGCCTAGCACGCCCCAGCAGGCGAGGCGGAATCGCTTTTCGGGGAAGATGCGCAGGTATTGGAAGAGGATGGAGAATTTGGTGAAGCCCAGACTGGCGTTGTATAAAGGGATTGAGGCCCAGAGACTCTATTATATCTATTAGTGAGGTTCTGATAAGTATATGGAGAGTGCAAGACGAACCTTCAGTTGCAACTTCAATTCCCGTGGGGACAGGGTGTTGTCCGGTTGTCCCAGGCCATAATGTACTTCTGCTCAAATGTTAGAGAGATCCAGGCCCACTGGCAATACAAGGAGACGAACCAGCGCAAACGAGACCGAAATAACAGATGGCCAGAGCCAAAGACACGAGGATGGTATAATCTTCTCGGCCCATCAACTTCATCACTCCAAGGCGAGCATACATGCGCATGCCGACGACGAGGACTGAAAGCGCCGTCAGCACGCCTGCTACCACCACTGCTCGATGTCCATGGGTGCCGTCGTTTGCTCCCCGTGGGATGAACGTGTGCAGTATGTGTTCATCCATGGTGTTCCGCGAAAAGAGTGAATTCGGGTCGAAAGTCGTGTCAAATGAGTGTAGTTCGGCTCCGACTCGGGGATAAATGCGGAGCGCGTCAGTCTCGTCGTAGATGCACTCCTATGTCTTCGGAATCATGACCAAGGGGGTGAAATGCTGTGCATGGAGGTGCCTGAAGTCAAGCAAGCAAAGAGCGTATCCATCATCATTTCTACACAGGCCGAAGTTAGGACGACCACTGTTATTTATTGGGAGTCGTCCCCGCCGAAAACCTTGATAGTAAATCAATAGCGTACCAAGATCAATTCAATCAGCTGGGGTAAAACCCACACATGGGCTATAGATTTCTACATCCACTACCGCCGGAGTTCATGAGGCACTCGGCGCAGGACAGGCCGAACAACCCCACATGTGTCTTGATAGCCGGGAGCCCATCCATGGAACGCCACTGCCGGTCTTTGATGCTTCGAGCATAGCTTGGACAGATGGCGCCGCAAGCGGGCGACCTCGTCTGCACGACAGCTGCTGATTCGATTGCGTGGCTCCACCCACCAGCCAGCGCCATACCATGCCGGGTTTACAAACTCAATGTCTTCGTCCCTTCTGGATGGCCATCCTTCTTCCGTAGGGTCCTCGCGAAGGAGCTCACGTAAGGGATACAACGTGGCGAGCTTGCCACGTTCTGCGGACCTGACCAGTCACTCGCCCTAGCACTATCCCCTGTCTATCCCATGGATCGAATATTATAGAAGATCTCGGAGAATTGTAGTATGGCTGGGCAGAGATGAACCTTGCTGAAACTCTCTGGTGTGGATCGAGTGCGCCCATTGCTGCTCGATCGCCCGAGTGGGCCTACCCTCTCGGCTGGAAAGCTGGCACCGAGGCACTTAGTTCATCAACATGCCTACAAACTCACGTCCAAAGTGTCATTCTTCTCGCATACTACCATCCAGGGGTTCAGTATCCCGCGCCGCATATTGCGATCGTATGAGGACTGGTACTAGGCTTTTGTTCCTGAACCCTTCCTGACCTCCAACCCGGCATGCCGGGTCTTTTTCAAGTGCGGTGGGGCCGGTTCGCCAAAAAGATCTCCATCTTGTGGCGCTAGTCCGCATCAGAGGGATTATTGACGGGCTAATGGCCATTATTTGCTGTGGGACCTTGTTTTTTTCTTTTATCAGATTGGGAAAGCAAAACGCAACGCGACGGGAGGTAATTATTGCATCTTCGGGGTTGTTGGCACGTCGCCGAAATTTTCAGCAAGGGGACCATGGCTGTCCGGCATGGCCGAGCTTTGATGTCTTGGTTCTTCCGTAAAGCCGCTCAGGGTTTGGGTCCTGCGCGATTCATGCATTACCAGATTTCAAGAACCATTAACCATTTTATCTGCCAAGTGCCAACTCATTGGTTACTATTACGTTTTGTTTGCCGGTGTTCGACCATTCGACCTGACCCGGGTCTGTTCAGCCACAATCATAAGGTAAGATCTCAGGATCAATAAAAGTTTGACAGGGTCTCCTGAGTTCTTGGCACTTCGGCACATGGAAATAGTGATGTGCACGAGAGATCAGCCTTCGGAGCTAGTTCAAATCTGTTCGATGTGTACTCCATAGCTGGGATGGGGACAATGCAACATGGCAGAATTTTCCACTTGACGCATTCACTGCCCACTCCCAGCACGTGTCGATCTCCGCGAGACACGTGGAGAGGCTGAGAATCTGGGATTTTCGATTCGCCATGTTCCGTCTTGGGTGTGCCTAGACTCTGGGCATTCTCAATCCACGATGGCTATAAGGACAAAGGGATTGGTTCACGGAGTGGAGGGGATCAAGAATAGATAAAGGGCAGGTTGTTCTCGTCAGTGTTAACTGTCAAGGCTTCATTCAGCTCACTTGGAGAAAGGAGGCTCAATGCCGAAGGATCTCATCTCAGTCAAGTTAGTCCGGCAACAGATCAAACCCCGAGTCTCTCCAAATACTCCATAATTCAGATGGAGGAGCTCCCACGCGGCAGAGGAATGCTAGCAGCTATGGGGCAAAACGTGGCTATTCCACAAGCAGGCAGAAATCCACCACCCCGACTGATCGGCTGACAGATAGCCCCATGCACTACTGGATTGGGGAAATGGTTGTCACTCCTTGATTTCATCATTTGCTCAATTAATCCGTCATTCCCTGGTGACTGGTGAGAGGTTGATGATTAGCAGGTCGGGGTTACTGATAAGTGAGCCAACTGCCTGTCATACCTGGATATGTTGTCTACCATAGTAACAAATATGTGGGAATAACAAGTCATAGATATGTTCATGTTTCAAATAAAAAACCTGAGAATTGAAATACCTGCTTGGTATTTTGTTTTTGATCTTGATGATATAGGAGCTATTAACATAGTAATAAGAGGCTCGGAGATAGTTTGAGTCTAAGTACGTGCACCTCTGGGTTTCAGATGCGAATGAAGGAAGTACCGTTATACTCATCATTTTCGCTTGACATGTAATAATATCTATAAACCTGGTCAGCCGAAACCAAATTTTTATATAATCAAGGGTTCCTAAGGTCAGATGCTTAAAATTTCCCTCCACAAGCGTTGTGCATTGCTTATTATGATTTTATATATTTCAATGTCAAAAGTAGCAGCAAATTTAAGAAGATAGAGTAATTTAATTCATTAAACTTTACTAGTCAATGACGGCGATCCGCTCAATACTATTTAAACATGTTGAATTGATTCAGTGAGTACTATACTCTTTGTAGGTACTATATTGTAAGACTGACATAGAGTATTGGCTTTATTGAATTAGTTCATCAAAACTTAGCCCGTTGCTCTAATCTAACAGTCTATATATTCGAGTCATATTCTCCACTCATCTCAATTACTTCTTTACATCTTTCAGCCCTATAATTTGTCTTCTTCCAGTTTAAGACAATGCAATATATACAGTTAGATTGGCCGGGTTTTGGATCACGCTAGCTGTTTAAAATTGTCTCTATCATATCTACCATGATTTGAGACCATGCCTATGACATTTTCACAATCCTACCATGATAAGGACAAAAGGTACCGAATACTATAAGGTAAACAAGTACATTCTTATCATCGGATGGAAGTCCGATCGGTCAAATATTCCACCGGACGTCCCGCCGAATCACGAAATCCGCTTCCCCGCAGCCGGTCGCCTACACCTATGATATAATCCCGAGGCCCTTCATCAACCCCTCCATCTCTCCCCGATCTTCTCGACCCCTGCTTTTCCAAGTTCCTACATCAACTATATATGAAGTATCTCCAAGCATATCGCAGCTCAATTGGATTCCTGCGACACATCACCTCTCCCGCATTCCATTCCGGCTCCTTCCCCGCACTCCGAACCAACCCTTTCGTTTCCGCCGCCCAACCGAGGTTCACCGCACGCACAATGGCAACGGCAATGGCAAAGCGCCTTGAAGGCAAGACGATCGTCGTGACGGGTGCATCATCCGGTATTGGTCGCAGCACGGCCAAGGAGTTTGCTCGCACCGCGCCCAAGAACCTGAAGCTTATCGTGACGGCGCGCCGTCTCGAGTCGCTGCAGCAGTTGGCGCAGGAGATCAAGGAGGAGGTCGGCGACGGCGTCCAGACCTTGCCTGTGAAGTTGGATGTGAGCAACCAAGAGGAGGTCAAGAACTTTGTGTCGTCCTTGCCGGCGGAATTCCAGGACATCGATGTCTTGGTCAATAATGCGTACGTGGCCCGACATCCCACCCGTCGTTGTCATCATATGTACTAATTTCTATTCAGTGGTCTCGTCAAGGGCGTTGCCAAGGCTCCGGAGATCGCCCAGGAGGATATCGACACCATGTTCCAGACCAATGTCAACGGACTGATCGGGATGACCCAGGCGGTTCTCCCCATCTTCAAGAAGCGGGAGGATGGTGGCCGTGGCGATATCATCAACATTGGAAGCATTGCGGGCCGCGAGGCGTACGCTGGTGGCAGCATCTACTGTGCCACCAAGGCTGCCGTCAAGTTCTTCACGGAAGCTCTGCGGAAGGAGCTGATCGCGTCGAGAATCCGCATCATTGAGGTCGACCCGGGCCAAGTGGAGACGGTAAGGCCTTAATTATCCTACTCGCTTTATCGTTTATACTTGACTGGTCACTAACGCTGGTGGTAGGAGTTCTCCGTGGTGCGATTCTACGGCGACAAGGCCAAGGCGGATGCCGTTTACTCGTAAGTCTTCTAGGCACGTCATGTACGGATCGAGACTAACAATCCCACAGCGGCTGCGAGCCTCTGACGCCCGATGATATCGCCGAGGTCGTTGTTTTCGCCGCTGGTCGGCGCGAAAACGTCGTGATGGCGGATACTTTGATTTTCCCCAGCCACCAGGTGAGCCATCGCATCCGATTGGATCAAGTATCCCTTTGTGGAGTTACACATCGCTAACGGTTTTCCAGGCGTCCCCGGGCCAATTGCACAAGAAGAACTAAACCAAATTATATGGCTAGGAGCTACGCAAATGGCTTGAGTTAGATGAAACATGAACATAGACTACCTCGCTGTATAGTGCGAAATAAACTTTGCAAATGTTACACCGAGTGACACTCGATCTCCACAATCCCCATCCCTCATTTTTTGTTTATCATTCAATTCAAAACGGTCCAGTTTCAGAGATAGACAGCGTGTGATCTGTGGTGTGTCAAAACATGGAATGTTCCCAATCGAATCTCGATTCTTGGATGTGAACTGCAGTCTATAGGCTATACATATGAATGCTTACGCCATGGACATTCCAAATACTGACGCCATGGCTTGAAAGGCGTTGACGGTACCTGCCCGGTTCTGAAGTTTCGCCTGACCCACAACCAGTCCTACCTGATCTGTGGCCCCAGCCGACCTAGCCAACCCCATACCTATGAAACAGTCCGTCAACAGACGACATGCTCGAGACAGTAAGTATCTACCATACTATCTCTCATTTGTCCGAAATATCTATGCGGCGATATACCTGTTTCTACGTACCACAAACTCTTGCGAGCAGACCAGGAACAACATATACGAAATAATGGACACTGCCGACATAAAGTGTCATATTAGACACCAACTGGAGTTCAAGTCTATGCACATATTTACCCCGGAGCAGTATCTCCGGATATTCTCGCATGATCAGCATCACACCGCAGCTCCTAGATCTACATATCAGACTCCATCTCATACGATATGATCTATCTCCACCGTACCTGTCAATCTTGAATCTACGCACCGTGTCGAGTCCACACACCTATCATCAACTCTATCTAATCCATAAAAAGCAAAAGCAAAAACAAGGAAGAAAGAAGAAAGAAAGCACGGTCACACAATCCCAGCCACAGTGGTCCTTTACTGCACCGCACAGACATTCCAAACTTCCCTCCCCACAACAGAGTTGAACAGACAGATAGACAAGCAAAATAGGTCTGGTTAGCGTTGTCTGGTGCATGTGGGATGAATTAACCTTTCTACCAGTCATGTCAAAGACAAGGGATTGCGTCCCGGTACTCCGTGCATACATGTTGACAAGTCCGCATCTGCCTGACTGATGTCATCGGATGCATCTGCTGGGAGCATTGCGAAAGACGAGGATAGATCCGGTGAGTGCGTAATTTGCGGGGGTTTAACATACTATACTATACATGTTGCCAGTGGATTTAACACGCAGATAGAATATCAGCCGATAGACAGCCAGGAAGTTACATGCAACGAGGAAACCATAAGGCGAGCAGGGCAGCACTACTGCATCTGTAAGTATAAGTGTAAGTGTATATGTATCCCCTAGTAAATACCAGTACGGCAGAAGTAATGGTACGTCCGCCCGCCCACTCCACAACCCACAACACAATACCCACGCACACAAGGATGATTGATGATGCCAAGCATCGGATACTTTGAGGGGCTTTTCCCAGAATGAGAATGATCGTCTTTCGGCCGAGGGTGTTTTCCGTTAGTTATTCAATTCGCTATGCGGGCTACCTACCTAAGGTAGTTGGTATCGGGTGAGGGCTGTGTGAGTCTGTTTGGATTGGTGGTGGTGGTGGTGGTGGTTGTCGTGGTCGTAGGTGGCTGACTATCATTTATCTCTGAGTCTCCATTGATGGATAACAGTGGTAATCCAAGGTCAATTACTTGTCAATGTCAGGTCAGTCAGGTAGGATCATATTCATGGTAAGGATGGATGTCCCGCGATCAGCATACTCATCTTGTGAAATCCGAGGTTGGGCAGTCGGTAGATTACTAGGTAGCTTGTCTACCAACGAGACAGCAGACTGTTTATCTTCTTCATAGAAATCATGTCTACTTTGGTGTATTTGTTCAATTATCTCAATGAAAATATTATCACATTATCCCCCCTGTAAACTAAAGACACTATTATTCCCTAGGACCATCAGTTAAATCCATACAATGACGCAACTCAAAGAGCCACAAGAGTCCAAGACACACAATGTACGGGGTAATAACTCCGTGTCCTCCGGACTCCATACTCCATACTCTGGACTAGCAACGCACATCGCATCGTACTCGGCATTTTGAAAGGCCACATCGCATATGATCAGACCACAGATCCCCTATCATCCGTGGCAAGTGGGGACGTGGGGAAGACTTTGACTCTACTATTAGTTGATCAATTTCTGGGCATGTCATAAGCCGGAGGGGAAGAAGAAGTAGTCAATAACAACGGCAAGGTGAAACCCCCGATCATGGGAATGATAGATGATGTCAGGGAAACTGGGAACAAGCTGTCATGATGAAAAGCTGCAGCGCCCTACATTAAGGCTGACAGGCAAGGCTTCTGGAAGCGAAGGTGGTGGTTTTCAGTTTCCATTTCCCTCCAGGGGCGCCAATCAGCTGGGATTTTTATATGTGGGTTGATGCGAATGGTGGCGTATGGTGCAGGTGATTTTACCTGAGAGTCCAATTATAATTGGCATTTTATAAGAATTCCATTTATTGACTTATTATTTATTTATTTGTTTTTTTTATTTCCCTCCATACCCGACAAAGAACGGAGCAATATAAATTAATCTATCAGCTCGAGAACTATACCGGGTACGGCCGTCGACCACAGACAGGAGTTCCCCCGACGCTTGCGTATGCGATTAATTGACCGTCTCCTGATTGACGAACCTGATTGGTGATTTCTGGATTGCTCGGACTCCGATTTCTTTCCTGGCGCACGAGCCACCGGATATACTTTCATACACTTGACCATGGCATATCCATATCATGAGAGAAACCGTAGTAAAGTGGTAAGGTAGAAGAGTGTTTACTATTCTTAGACTTGTCAATACTAACCAGTCACCACTCTGTTATTATTAGAAGTATGATAAGGGGATTATGATGCTCAGCAGAGTGGACAGGATGAACCAACGTTCAGGGGTGGGGCGTGGGAAAGACGGACCCTAGAACAACCAGCCTAGTCTCAGAGGAGAAGTTGAACAGCCCGGTCAAATCGCCCCAGAGACTAAACGACTAGACTACCTGGTTCAGGATAGTGGGCAAATCATCCGATCCTGGTTGTTTACCTCCACCGGAGTCAGAGAGGGGGGAAGTACCGTGGTCTACCCCCTGTTAGAATTGCTCTGGCTTCATTGAGTGGGTGTGGGTGTTACTCTCAATCGCATTGATTCGTTCTATCTGACAAGGACTACTAAAGAATCACGGAAACCCTAAGATGGTGGATGGATAGTGTGGGGTCGGGGAAATGGTTAATGCCACACCAGTTCAGTGGCATTCTTACCAAGTCAACCCCTTATTGAATATTACAATGAGGATGAGGATGAGGATAAAGATTTGTTGTACCTGTACGAGGTAAGTACAGGCTATAGAGTTAGACAGTCTATCCTTTGCTTGGGGTCCACTTTAAGTTACAGTATCCAAATAACCAAAATCCCCCTAATTCTTACCATCGTCTGCTCTGATTCAGTCTCTACAGGATACGACTCGAGTACATTTGATGGACTCCTTGCAGAAACCAAAATTGAATTGACAAATGAGACAATAATAACCATGACAATAGAGAGAGAGAGTCATAATCATACTCACCTCTCATAATATCGATCCACCTCCTCATAACTAGTGACTTTAAACTCTCCTTAATCATCATCATTCCTGATTCCTCATTCCCCCTTCCCCTCTCACTCTTCACCCCTCTCTCTCCTCTCTTCTCTCTTTCTCTCATTCTCTCCACGGTGTCTGTCTTTGCTTGGACATCCTGTTGATTCTTTTTCCTCCATCTGTAAAGATCCCTGAGATTTGTAGTGTATCCTCAACCAATTCTGTGATCCTCATTGATAACTCAATTATCCATTCTCATTATTCTCACTATTATTTGATTCGATTATTCTATTGTTTTATTACTCATTGATGATTCTTGATTGTTCAATTGCACTATATTATTGAAGTCCCAAGTTCCACGAACCCCCTGATCCCACCCCGTCCTGCTGCTTTAAGCTTGGCCTAGTCCTCCAATTGGACCCGCTGTTGCTGTCCACCTTTAGGCGCTTCTCTTTCTGCGCAAAACTCCCGACCACTTGGGCCCCGACTCTTGTCCCTGCTCCCGATTTTTGTACGGTTGTTTGCTGCTACTACTACTACCTGCCTACCTACCTATCCTTTGCGATTGTTTCTCCGACTGCTGCGTGCGATTTCGTCCCGCTGCCACGGCTCTTCTTGGGATAGCTTCGACCTCCCGTTTCCATCGCTCCCCCTTCTTTTCCTCCCACGCATATTTTGCGCTCGATCCGCCGTGATGGCTTCAAAGGTAAGCCTCAGAACTTCAGCCACCACCTGTCCTCGCTCATCCACATTCCACCCTCTCCCCCTTCCCCTCTGTTTCTGTCTCTCGTATCCGATCGCTGGCCGTCTCCCCTGTCGCACGAGTCGCTCGCCCCTCCCCCTGCCATCATCCGAGAGAACAGAAGAAGCGGACACCAGTCACTCTCCCCGTGATCAATTCCATCCAAAACTAATGCGTCTTTCTTCCCGACCGAACAGTTCCTCCGAGAATACAAGTTGGTGGTCGTCGGTGGTGGTGGTGTCGGAAAGTCGTGCTTGACGATTCAATTGATCCAGAGCCACTTCGTCGACGAATATGACCCAACGATCGAAGGTGAGCGCTACAGCCGGCTTGAACCCCCCCCTCCGAACACGTCGCTCATGAGATTCCCTCGATATAGATTCGTACCGCAAGCAGTGCGTTGTCGATGATGAAGTCGCCTTGCTCGACGTCTTGGATACCGCTGGACAGGAGGAATACTCGGCGATGCGTGAACAGTACATGCGGACTGGCGAGGGCTTCCTGCTCATCTACTCGATCACCTCGCGACAATCCTTCGAAGAAATCATGACCTTCCAGCAGCAGATTCTCCGAGTGAAGGACAAGGATTATTTCCCCATCATCGTTGTCGCTAACAAGTGTGATTTGGAGAAGGAACGTGCCGTGACGGAGCAAGGTTAGTCCCTTTTCTCCTCATTCTTTTTTTTTTTTTTTTTTGGCCTTCACTTTATCCGTTCATTCTACTTGTTTCGCTTTGTTTCCCTTTCTTCACTTATTCATCGCGATCGCTAACTCGCATACAGAGGGTGAAGCACTGGCCCGCCAGTTCGGCTGCAAGTTCATCGAAACCTCCGCCAAGTCTCGCATCAACGTCGAAAACGCCTTCTACGAGCTCGTCCGGGAGATCCGCCGCTACAACAAGGAAATGTCGTCGTACCCGTCCGGATCGGGTGCGTTCGGGTCCCGCGCGCCGGAGGGCAAGATGGACATGAGCGAGCCCGGCGACCACGCGGGCTGCTGCGGAAAGTGCATCGTGATGTAATGGAAGTGGACTGAGCATCGAAATATCGAAATTGCCAGGAAAACACGAATGCGCCCCTCAACGAGACGCGAAACTGGAAGCGAAAAACACACCTGCGATTATACATTTTTTTTAAAGAAAGAGAAATTGACGACGCGACAATGTCACTTCCTCTCCTCCGCCCCTCCCCCGAAGAATTGCGAGCGCGCGTGTGTGACTGATTGATGTGATGGATGGATGGGTTCGGGATTGGATTGTGACATTATACCATACGAAGGCTCGCTCGCTGTCAGATGGAGTCTGCTCACCCTAATGCTATCACCGTCTCCATGAATGTTCGATTCCCCCTTTGTTCCTGTTTTTTTATCATTTATTTTATCTATTTTATACTTTTTTTTTTTTTTGGATGGAAGATTTCTTCGTCATGATCATCCCTATTGTTATATTTGACAGAATGGGCAGAAATAAGGAAAGCTACGGGCCTGTTGATAGAATCTGTGCAATCTACATATGTATTGCTATGGTTGTATTCTTCATCTATCGTGGGTAAATAGACAAAACATCGACTCTTCGTTTCCATTACCAATGTTAGCCAGTGACTGGATTCAAAAACGAGAATGACAAGAAGAGGGAGATTAATCAACCATTGATCAATATGGAGCAGCAAGGGACACCCATTGAACGAGAGCCAAGAACCGCACGTTTGTCTTGTAGATGCATACCTACACCATCAACTCTACTAATTTAAGGGAAGGAAATACATACATACACCTGTTATCCACATATTATGTTGGAACCAGCTCGTCTTAATAAAAGTAGGCATCTACCACATCTGTTGCACTTGGTCCCTCGGGCGACGACAATAGCTAATTTACTACCTACACATACTAGGTACGTATCTAAGAAACATAAACCCAGAGTGGTTTTCTTTCGAAAGAGTAGAGATAATGGATTTTTGGTTCTATTGAATGTTTACATACTGGATATATATCTATCAACTGACCTACTCACCTACCTACCTATCAACTCACTCTACCTAAGCTAGGTACCTGGAAGAGGTACACATATATATACACAGCAGTAAAACAATCATCTCAATCAATCCTCTCTACCTCAGCAGGGGGTGTGAGCGGGCGATCTCAGCAAGGAGGTACTGGCTGCAGATGCACTCTGTATGGGCAGTCTCGCCCTCGTTGTTGGTGTTTTCTCTATTCCTTTCTTTTCTTTTCTTTTCTTTTCTTTTCTTTTCCTTTCTTCTCTTCACTTTTCCTTTCATCTCTTCACTTTTCCTTTGTTTTTTCTCTCTCTCTGGTCTGTCTTGAGTGCTGGAATGAGGTTCTAGTGGGTAAGTCACTTGATTGTTTTGCTTTGCTTGTTGTGTGGGTTCTTTTGTTTCCTTTTTTTTTTTCTCTCCTTTCTTTTTCGAGGGATTGCTTCTCTATATTGGAATAACTTATGTTAGTGGTTTTTTGGCTGTGCATGGATTGGTTGTTTTGGTGGTTGTGGGTTTGTTTTCTTGGTCGGATACATATATATAAATATATATATACCTAGGTATATAGATACTCCGTAATAGCAGCATCATCGACTGGGTCAACTTCAATTGGTACGTTACTGTACTTTGAATGGTTGAGATCGCTTGACAAACTCAAGGTACGGTATATACATGCTTTAGGTGTAAGGTTACTCATCTATGTACGCGATGAACCAAATCAGGCAGACAGAAAATGCCACAACAAAAACAAAGAGACAAACAACAACGAAGAAAACCAAACCAAGCCAAACCAGCTACAAAGCCAGCCTGCGTTCTATAAGTCATATCGCATCCAGTATAAAGCAAATAGCAATATCACTCCCCATCCTCAGGCACATCCAGCTCATCCTCCTGCGAAACCTTCGTCCCCTTCACATTGTGCTCCACCTCCGCAACCAACCCATCCATAAACTCCTTATCAGTCCCCACAAGCGTGACTGTATTGCGCTTCTTCTCCCAGCGGGGATAGGACCCGACCTTAACGCCACGCGCCTCAACCCGCCCCGCCAGCTCCGTCAGGTAAGGCGCGACCTCGCTCTCGGGAAGCGGCGTGCTAAACAGATACCGGTAGATGCCGGTTCCCTCGGGGTTCGACAGCCGCGGCAGCAGCGACGGCTTGAGGTTATCGAGGAGGCGCTCGAAGAGACGCGGGACGCCCGGGAGGATGTAAACGTTGCCGTTGACGACGGCGATGGGCACCCACATGTCGTCTGCGACGAAGACGGCTTGCGCGGCGAGGGGAACGGCGGGGTCGTGCGGGAGTTCGACCATGCGCAGCTTGGCGGTGAGCATGGGGGAGGGTGTGTCCCAGTCGAATTGGGGCTGCATGGGGTGGGGGCGGGAGAGTTTCTTCATGCGCGCGAAGGCTTCTTGGTGGAGTTGGAGGTTGAGGCCGAAGGCTTTGGCGATGGATTCGTAGGTGATGTCGTCGTGGCTGTAGGAGATGGGTTAGCTTTTTGTCTGTGTCTTTCTTTATTATTGTTTTGTTAGAGGGCAGAAGACGAACGTTGGCCCGATGCCGCCGCTGGTGACGACAAAGTCGTAGTTGTTGCTCATGCGGCGGACGGCTTCGCTGATTTCTCCTTCATCGTCGGCGATGACCTCGATGCGTTTCAGTTGGATTCCGAGGGAAAAGCAGAACTTGGCGAAGTAGGCCGAGTTCGTGTCGATTGTCTGTTCTCGATGATTAGCACCAGGCAAGAATGGTAGACCACTAGGATGATAATCTAATGGACTCGATAGAGTGGTGTAGGGTGCGTACCTTCCCACCGAGTACTTCATCGCCAATGATCAAGCATGCTGCCGTGTGGATGGTCTTTTGGCCGTTGGTGAGGGCGGATGATGTCATTTTCGGGGAGAGCTCGCGGGACAGGGGCAGAGAGGACGTTGACGATGGAAAAGCCGGGGCAGTCGATATCTGGGATAAAGACGGACGAGAAAGATGGCGGGAGAGTTGACCGAGCCGAGCGAACATGCCTCCAAGCAGAAGAGCAGGGAAATCGACAGAAAGCTAAGGAAGAACGGCAGAGAAGAGCGATTTGTTTATCAATTACTGAAGAAAGACGAGAGGGGGAAAGATGAGACAAGCCAGAGGGCGGAGAAGAACGCCAACGGGTGGGGAATCAATTATCCAGCATGTTCAAGCTGTCTCCCCATCCCACCTTTTTCTCTCTCCTCCACGCCATCTTTTCGTCTTGACTCGACCCCACTTCCAACGCAGGAGTATCTCCTTTTTATCGACCTTTATTGGTTTCATCTATATTGCCTTGTCGCACAGTATACCGCCCGATTATAGATACTGCGATCATTCCACACAGCGTCATGGTGAGCGGAAGTGCCCCGCATCGCATGCGGAAGACGGGGGTTTGCTAACAACCATCTCTCCCACCACAGTCCGAGTCGCGATTATACTCCTTCTCCCCGGAGACCAAAGAAAAGCTTCGCAAGTTCCGCTTGGGGACCTCGCGAGCCAAGGATGCGCAAGCCCTCATATGTACGCTCCGTCCGTCTTTTTGATTCCAGCCCGAGTTCCCTGTCGCGTGTGACAAATGTCCATCATGTCCATCCAATGGCCGGTAGCCGAACAGAACAATCCCAGAATTGACGACCGACTCGACAGACATCATCGACTCCAAGAACCACGAGATCCGCCCGGAAGATGAACAGGTCTACAGCAAGATGGAGGACCTGGCGGATGAACTGCCCGAATCCTCGCCGCGGTTCATCCTGTTGAGCTACCCGTTGACTTTGGTGCGTCCCTCCACATTCTCTGTCCACGCCGTGTCCGATCACTCTGCAGGATTTGCTAATGTTTTCGTGACTAGGGATCCGGCCGCTTGACTGTCCCCTATGTCCTCCTCTACTGGCTCCCCGAAAACTGCAACCCCACCTCGCGCATGACGTATGCGGGCGCAGTCGAACTGATGCGCGCCACGGCGGAGGTCAACCGCGTGATCGAGGTCCACGAGGAGGACGATATCACTTCGATAGAGTCGAAGTTGCAGGGTGCGGATTGAGAGCAGGTCACATCATAGTTAATGGATGCGTTTTATAAGGGGCGGCGTTGTGTATTTGACCGGTTTTATGACGGTGGATTCAGAATCGATAGAAACATACATCATCCAACCTGTTTTCTGTATTGTCACTCCCTCGTCGGTTAGGACATCTGTCAGAATACCCAGCTTGAATGTTCTATCTCAGTCTAAGGTCATCTTCTCGGTGCTCAGGGGTCACAACTTATCGATAAGGACCAAAGAGTGAGCTTCCTACCCGAAGCGATCATGGACGGAGCGACGGGTAATCTCAACACGAAGAACGGGGCAACACGTTAGAAAAAGGATAGAGGTTGATCAGGTCCCACGAAGACTCCGCAAGGCTTTCCTCCCCGTCCAGCATCCTGTCTTCCATAAATCCCAAGGGGGAAGAGGGGCAGCACGCTTTCCACTCTCCTCCCCAAACCAATCAAAGACAGCAATGGTATCATGCTATTGATCCTCCTCAATGTATCCGCAGTCCGTACGTTGCATCTGCCATCCCCTCCCCGGAACCGTTATACGGCTCCGTTGTCCTCCCCACCACGCTACAGTGGAGCCAAAAGATATGGATCGGGTTCCCGGTTAGGTAGGAGACTTCCTTCAACTGCCTACCCTTAGCGGACAGCAATCAACTCATTGGAGGGAACCGCTTCCGATACGATCCACCAGAGACCCGCAGATCGGTGAGTTCATGCCCACGGAAATTGGAAACAAGCTAGTCACAGCCGGGGCTAAACGTAAATACATTATTAAAGTGGTATGGTGTCAGTATTGTGAACAGAAACGGGACCATGCATGGGCAATAGCACTATCCGTCCTGACATCCGACCACCACAGGAGTAGGAGTAAGGACAGAGCAGCGGCTAATCTTACCATTCATTGGGATTCTCGCAGGCCCCGTAATCCTGCCGTCGATTTCAACCCAATGAGCTGTACGGGATTTCGGCACGGACCAAATCGTGGATAGGTGTTTGGGGGCTTTGTCTGAGACTGACTTTGACTTGCAAACTTTGAGACTCTCGGTCGGACCTCTTCCATCGTTTGACTGATATCTGTTAGTATTACCATAGCCAGTCCAGAGTATTTGTTCTGAAAACATCATCGTAGATACCACCACAGCCATACTTCGTACCACTCCAACCCCCCCATCCAATCCTCACCCGCAGAATGGTTAGTCTGTATTCCCCAGACCGTCCACACGCATAGTACGACTCACAATGGGGAAATAAAAAACGCCTCAATCAGCGGAACAACCACCGTTGCAATCCGGTAGGCAGATTTTCTCCGATGGGGTGAGGGAGGGGCTTGCACTAACCCGGGCGTCGTGGCACAGCCGGGTTTCCCCCTCTCTAACTAAACCTCCTGACGAACCACACACCGCGGCTCCGACTGGGGTGTTTAGTAGGTCGATGATTGCTACTTCCATCTCTGGAGTAGCATACTGAGGGAAAGGTAAAGTCTTCATCTCGCTAATCACACCACCACCACCACCATCCGCAAGCGGGCCGTTTGGGTTCTGCATGGAATGTTTCCCCCGTTCTTTAGCCGACGGCGATGATGATGATGGTGATGGTGATGGTGATGGCTTGGCTCTGACTTCTTGTGTCGGACTGCTAGCCAGGGCTGTGTCGCGCATTATGCATTGCGTTTAGATGATTACTACACTACCTTGGCTTAGCGAATGGGTGCGTGTTAAGTGTTTCGTTTGGGTGATGGGCGCGTCCACTGTGCATGGGTCTCCCATTGTCACGACTTACGGAGGAGAGACGATCGGGAACGGATGATTTCATCGTGCTATGGTGGTGGTTGTGGATTTCAAATGGGGATTGTTGCATGGGTAGTGTGGTGTGGTGTGGTGTGGCCGGAGGAGACCAGGTAGATATCTATTTATCTATTTGAATAAAGGCTACTGCCGTATACAGCATACAGCGCCGATGGTCGACAGCGATCTCGTCAGGGATTACTGCGGCATCGTGACTCTCATTCCTAGCTACTGAGTATTGACAGGGGGGGATAATAAGTGACTGTATCTTATTTTAATCATTCTATTGATTTATTTTATTTTAATTTTCGAAGCCTGTCAGGTAGAGTGGGGAATATCGCCGATAAGCCACGAGTCTGGAGTTTAGGCCTGCGAATCCTACTCCTACTCCGTATTGAGTATGAGAAGGTCATAAATGAATAGAAGAATGATAAGAATCACAAGAATAAGCCATGCGACGCCATGCGCTCAACTTCAAGTCCCGTAGGGGGGGCCCCGGTCACCGATCGATCTACGCATAACGACCTCGCAGGCACTTACTACCTACCTATCTAAGTACTGACCAACCGTGAAAGGCTAGTTTAGTTAGTTTCACTTGATCAGCTCGTCCATCATTCTGTCAATCTGCCTGGGCCACTGATGGGCTAGCTCCTGTCATGGCTAGTTTAGTGGTAAGTGGAAAGGAGTCAGGACGAACTCCTGCCGAGGCCCGGCCGATCCAGGACTATTCCTGGTCTATTGGATTCGGGGAAACTATAGAGGCAGCTATTGTTCCGTGGGATTTTCTGGCAGGTGGCTAATTCGTAGTTCGATGGTTAGGTTCCTGCCGAATGGAGGTATGGGTTGATTATCTACTGTGTGCTTCTAGGGTATACTTATCTTGGGGGTAACTATATGATTTATGATCAGAGATAGATAATCAAGATAATATAGGAGAATGGGACTACGGAGACTTTGGTGTTTCGTAATTTGTGACAGTATGAAGGGTAAACTATGATATGATCATAAGAACAATGATGGTAACTGTTACAACAAGGACAATGAGAAGAAATCAGAATAAGAATAGGAATATGGATAGTAAATGAAGAAAAAAACCATAACGATAGATTCCTTAAAATAACATGTCTCCTACTGAGTATAAAGTACCATGTATGATAATCCCCTACTATGTATGGAACCCGACGCGCCCGGAGTCTGGTCATATTCTCGGGGTTTGGAGTCGACTAGAGAAGCTGTGCCGCAATGCTTCTCGGTATTTGCCAGTCACTGGATCGCCATTCTACGTCACACGGGGTTGGGGCCAATCCTGTCGGTGGTGTCAAGAAAAAAGAGTCTTAATGAAGAGACAGATGAATGAATCAAGAGAAATAAAGAGAAATAAAGACAAAGAGATATAAGACTACTGTCAAGTATAATCTATCTATCATATTCTTCCATGTGGCTACTGGTTCATCGATGGCCTGATTCATGGATCATCAACGTCCCCGGTCGCATCATCCTTATGCAAACCAGGGTGTTGGGAAACCACGCATAAAAAACATCATAAATCCCGAATGATGGGCAACGATTCGGGGTTTGTGTTTCCACCACGGGATTCGAAGAGTTCATAACTTCAGGTCTAAGCGACCGGAAGGAATGACTACTGCCTGAGTGGGTAAGGTGTGCTCCACCCCCCGACAAAAGGTTATCCGGGCCCCATTTGCACCAACCACAGGACTGTCCCGGTGGAGCCCGGGTCGGGGCTCGCACGGATCGTAACTAACCTGACTTGGTGGTTTTTCCCCTATGGTATGGGCTGTATGGGCTTGTATTCTCTAGTATTTCGGTCTTATGGTGTACTAATGTTGTCTAAATCATGTTGGTCGGTACGGGTAAACAGGTAACGAAAAAGCAAAACGTCCCAAGAAAATCCCTGATCTTCCCCCCTTCCCCTAAATATTGAATCACCCCATATTCCATTCTACCCGTCTTGAGATATGTAGGGAAGTACGGAGTAAAGAAAAATAGATAATCAAAAGATAGAAAATCAAATAAGATAATGATAGTATCAAAAAAATAAAAATAAAATAAAAAACAAAAAATAAAAATAATTAGGATTATCCCCTGTATAAACACCCCGTCATACATAATACCCCCTGTCACCCGGTCACCCTACTAAAACCATGTGCCACACGCACTTGCGAAAGGTCTAAAGGTTCCAACTGACGCTGATAACTTGCATTGTACATCAAACCACCAGCCAACCACTTTCCCTTCTTCCCACCCAACTTACCCACCACCCCCTCTCGCTCGCCCAGCTCTCCCCCCCGAATCGTCTTGTATTTAGCGTTCGACTCACGCTGTGGCGCTCTGAACTGTTTGATTTCTTTTCTTTTTTTCCTTCTTCTCACCCTCGATCGATTCTGTTCGGTTTGAAGGATTTGTACGGTTTAATTGAGTGTATTCCGTACAGGAGGATACGCGTATCAGGTACGTATCATACCATACAACCAACGGCGCCTGGTATCACACCCATACCTACTTAATATTATCCTTCTCCCTCACACCGTCTCCTCGGGTCCTCCCAAACCTCTGGAATTTGGACCCCCCGTGTCAACCAACCTGTCACAGTCCAATTTCACTGCAGGCTGACTTAACCCGACTCTAACTCCCCTGCTCTAGACAGCTTTTGCCACCGCATCTTCTGCTTCATTTATTTCTCCCATCTTGCCCTCTCGTGCATTAGTTTCATTCGACCATTTTTCCCACTCGGCTAATCCGCCCAAACATCCCTCGTACTGGGATCGATCGAACTGGTGGCATTCCTTGCCAAGTATATCACCACTATCGCTGGAAGGCGCCCATGAAAGATTCGATTGGATTGTGGGATTGAAAACTGCATCGTCATCTATTTATCGTCCAATCGAGAATTCGACTCAACCCCCGATCGTATTCACCCAATTGCAACCGGTTCATCTCTAGCATCATTTGTTGGACACCAGCGCCACTCGACCACCCGAAGCAACATGTCGAGCCCGACCGATCCCACCCGCCCTGGCAAGGGTAAGCAGGAAGGCCTGGGCAAGTATATCAAGCGCATGAGCACCGCCTTGAAGAGGACCTCTACCTCCAAGTCTGTCGCTGGATCTGCCGCCGAAAGATCCCCCACCCAGGAAACCACCCCGACCGCGGCGTACGTCTTCACATGGTTGGTTCGAGAGTGTAGAATGTAAGCTGACTAGAATGCAGACCTAAATCCAAGACCAAGCCGGCCGCGACCAAGGAACCCGCCTTCAAACCTGCGCCGCCACAGCCCGCCATGCTGTCCCACTGGAGCGTTGTGCAGGAGGAGAAGGCTCGCGCCCTCTTCGCCAAATACGGCATGACTCTCGACCCGGGCGAGTGGAAGTCACCCAACGACGTGACCGTCCAACGCGTGACCAAGCCGATCCGCATGAGAGTGCGCCGCACCTGCCACCGCTGCCAGACCACCTTCGGCCCCGACAAGCTCTGCGTCAACTGCCAGCATGTCCGCTGCAAGAAGTGCCCCCGCCATCCCGCCGCCAAGTCCCACGATCACGGCCAGCAGAACACCGAGGCCGCCCTCAAGGCCATTCTCGCCCGCAAAGCGAACCCGGCCATGGCTGCCACCAAGCGCAAGGAACCCGAACTGACGCTGCCTTCTCGCACCGGCGGCCAGGACCTGGTGCGCCGCCCGATCGTGCAGAGAGTTCGCCGCACCTGCCACCGCTGCTGCGTTGTCTTCGCTTCGGGTACCAATGAATGCGCCAGCTGCCATCACATTCGGTGCAAGAAGTGTCCTCGCGACCCGTATGTTCCTCTTTCTTTGAGTGTATGTCTGAGTTGTACTGACTGTTGCGACCGGCAGGCCCAAACTCCACAAATATCCCGATGGATACCCGGGCGATGCCGAACCTCCCCGCGAGCAGCCCCCGCGTGCGTGGCGAAAGCCACGCCAGCGCGTTCGCTACACCTGCCATCAGTGCTCGACCGTTTACCGATCGGGCGAGAAGTTGTGCTCGAACTGCGGCCAGGAGAAGGGTCCGCAGACTCTCCGCGACCCGTACGCCTCCCATCTCCCATCCCGTCGCCCAATTGAACCAGCAGGCTAATAAATTACAGGCCCAAGAAGCAGCGACCCGAGCCCGACCCCGCGATCGTAAAGCAAGTGGAGGAACGACTGGCCAAGGTCAACTTGGACCTGAAACCGGGCGAATAAGCTACAGACATTCAACCAGCTATCCGCGTACGCGGTTCTCACTCAGCTTATTCCGGTCATTCGGCAGCAAAACCAACTTTTGCGTCCACTCCTTACGATAACGATTCCCCTTGACATTTTACTCTACTTCTTTCAAGCGCAGCGAAGAGACACTGCCCAGTGCCTACGGGCAGAAGGCCATCATCCGTCTCTGGATCAGCTTTTATTATTCATCAAAACATTTTACACACCACTACACAATGTCACCCACGTTGTTCAGTTGACCCGGTCAAGCGAACCAACCATTCAACCAGTTCAACCCAGTTCAATGCAAATCGTAAAACTACCACTTCCCCCAAAACAACCACCTGCAGTGTAGTATGTACGTACACATGTAACGTTCTCCCCAAGCGTCGCACCCGTCCAACTCCCGTAAAATTATACCCAATCATGCGCGTAAGCGTGGTAAACGCACACACCCACCCACCCGGCTGTCTGGAACTGACAGGTAAACCAGTACCTAAGCAAGCAAGTAAGCAGCCAGCCAGCTAAACCAAGCTCCCTAACTGGTCGGATCGACCTAAGCAAGTTAACAAGCGAGGAGTATAAGGTATGTATGTATGTATCTCGGAACGAGTGGATTCATCGGGGAGTGGATGCTGGACGGGAGGGAGGGAGGACGAGGTGGGGCTGGCTGGCTGGCTGGGTTTTTTTGTTCCGTGGGTGGGATTGAACCTTTTTTTTAACTTTGTTTATTTTTATTTCTTTGTTTATTTATATTTTTATTGATGTTTTTTATTTTTTTTTTATTTTTTACTATATATCGTTATGAAGTGGAATGTTTGTTTTGGTCGGGCTTGGAGCCAAGTAAGTAATGTATTCATGGCTGGGTTACTTGGGAGGTAGGTACCTAGGTACTGTAGCTATTCATAAGTTTTATATAGATACAGTTGAGTAGAGTGAAGAAAAGGGACATTGAATTGTGTTACCTACGTACCTACGTACCTCCTTACCTACCTACACAATCTACGAAAGTAGTTAAATCCAGAGACATATGAAATGGTTGAACGAGATCCTACTATTGGTATACACCTATAATGTACAGAGTATAGACAGGGTAAGATCGGACCTACGAGTCATGGGTTTGTCTGGATCTGACTTTTTACTTTGAGTCAGTCTGTGGGTGTATTTCATTTTCGGACTTGGAGATGGATTGCTCAAGCAAACATTAGGTAATACTTGATACTGTTTATAGTATCTGATTGCTTTCTTTCAGTTGAACTCAATCGCTTTATTTTGGAGTTTAAACTGTGGGAGTATAATGTTGCAAGAATTTTTCTAGCTTAACTTAATCCAATTTGATGAATTAATCAATTGATCGAAAGAATAATATCGAAGAAAGAACATTGATCGGAATCCACCGATATCTTACCTTAATAAATTCAATTTAATACTTAGGGTACTGTATATACCTAATACCTACGTGGTAAGTATCCATTCACAATTCAATATATTACACTCATCCTCCTCCCTCCTCCCCAGTCCATCCTCCCCCCTACTATCCACCATAACATCCACCACTAACCCGGGAACCTCCCCATCCCAAAGGATCAAAAATACACCTCACCTTCCTCGGGGAACAAACACCCCCCCAAAACTCCACCCATATAACCACCAAAGACCGACCCGCGCGTTCAAATCCCGCCGGCGAGCAACCCGACCAGCCCGGCCCGTAGGAATCAGCGAAGTGAGTATCCACAAGTGGGGCTTGAATGGATGTGTTGGCCTTAATTCAGCTAGCCGGGTCAGACCATCGCCTCCCACTCTACGCGCTTATTGGAGTAGTGGGTGGTTTAGTGCTGCGCTAGTGGGGTGGGTGTAGGTACCTAGTGGCTGGGTCGGGTTGGGTGACGGGGCGGGTTCCGTGGTGTTGGGTTTGGAGGGGTCTGGAATGGAACGGTGGGTGGGTTTTTGTTTACCTGTCTACCGACTCAGTAGTCAGGAGCTACATATGGTAAGATGGGTAGGTAGATATAGGCGATGTTTGGGATAGATTGCTGGCTGGCTGGCTGGTTAGTTCGGGTAGGATGGATGGTGAGACTTAGGTATTATGTCCTTTGTTGATACTTCCAATAAACGGGATATAATGAATGGATAATACGGAGAATAGAATATTTGTGTCATCTCGGGGATAACCGTGAATACAATGGAATAGAAAAAAGCTTTCCCCTGACATATTCTGTCCCTAGCCTAATTACATCATCCACGACGCCCAGGCACAATAGTATGACATCTGTCAATGGTGCTTCATCTAGGGACGATGATGATTTAGCGTGGCACTCTCCACTGATGTACGGGTAGTCTAGACCATCGACGACTGATCTTCGTTGAGTACAAATCAGATCAAGTATAAGGAGTATGTACCAGTGAAGCAGCAAACCCCTAGCGTAGATATATCAATAACATCCGTGCGGCTGAGCCCTTCGATCGGTGATTGTGTGGATGGACGTCGGGATCTTGGTAGGGACTTGTCTTGGCGGGGATTTACAGTTAGGCTTGATATGTAAATTTGTCTCATATGTATACTACGTATAGTATTCAGTAGATAGGAGGTTTTTATGGATGTTTTGTAGTTCAATAGGAATGACTGTTGTATATACATTGTCTGGATATAGTCTGCAGCTCACTCTACTGATATGTCACCGAATATCCGAGAACACGGTAGATTCTGCAGAGGCAAGATAGAAGCAAATGAACTATTACCGAAGAAGCACTCTTCAAAGAGTTTATGTTTGGATTTGTTCAATCTGAATACACATGGGTTCAGCCCCCGAGAGCTGACGCCCTGCTTTTTGTTTGAAAGAGATGAGTATACGGGGTGTGCTGGGATATCAGATTGAAACCCCGACCAAATGCCGATTCGGTACTTTGGTGAGTAGCTGAGATATTATTATCATTTCGTTCAATCGCCAGCCTCGAAGCTGATCCTTACCATAGTACTGACCGAGGTGTCTTTCCCACAAGTGATACTATACTCGGGATTCTGGGACCGTGTCGGGAATCTGATATCGGGGTTCCGCATACTGTCTTGTGAAATCTCGCTGAAGACCGAACTGGACTAAACCAAACCCATATCATAAAGCAAAACAAAAGAGAAAAAATAAACCGACGTCGATCGACTAGACCCCGTATAACCCACTATCATCTCAGTGTCTTAGCTTCGGCGACCAAGACAGACCACGCGGATAACGAATATCAGGCACTATTTCAAGATCAACACCTTCGAATCAGGGGCACCCGGAAGAAACACCCGTAACAAAACAAGCAGCACCTGCAGCTCGGGCTCTAGCTAACCCTCAAGCATTCAATAGACAGACAGACACGATTCGAAGAAAATGTATCACCATTGTCGATCCTCCGACGGGACAAATTTAGAGATCGGACCTACCCCAAGAGGAAGGACTCGGTGGGTTAGTAGTAGAGAGTGGGTCTGATAGTGGAAGATTCCGGGATTCCCCCTTCCCCTCCTTCAAGATAGGAGAACTATGTGAAACGACAGGACGTGCCTCGGTTGGGGATATTTATGGCTTCCCCCGTCCGTTGGATCGGTATATGTGTATTCTCCTGATGCCGGGATCTCGGAACAACGCGTATGGCGTGTCATGTTTGGTCTGGACTTGTCGATGGCGCGAAGCTTATCCTTTTAGTTCGATGCTATCCTTTTTTTAACTATTGGAAATGAAGCAGGCGTTTGAGGTATCTCGTTAGTGGGGTTGATGGTGCCTGGTTGAGCTTCACTTCCTAGGAGCGAAATTGACAATTTGTGCTGAGTATAAATTTGGATAAAATTATCTTGAATGATCCTTGTCACTAGGTAAATGGATAATGAAGCATTGCCCGCTTTATCTGTAAAAACCAGACCTTGCTATCTAGGAATTGCTGTCCGCCATCAGTTTGCTAAAGAGAGGGACGCTATGATAGTCGTCACCACGTACTGATAGTTCGTGCTTTACTTCTAGAGGTGTTACAGTCACTACACTTAACATTTTTCAGTAGGAGAGCCACAGAGTATTCACATGAGTATCCACCAATCCAACGCGCTATTTATAGAGAAGAAAGAACACGCCTAAAGCAATTGTACAATACTAGATTTGATACTATTCAGTACTTGCGCACGAAAAGCTCTGGCTTTGAGGGTTGTCGTGTATAGCCTTGCCGGACGTATACAGCCCTAAACCACACTGTGTTCGTTAGAAGCTCTCATTGACCCAAGAACAAGAGACACGGGTTGACAAACCAAGACAATCCCACAACAGAGACAGAGAAGATTGACGAACGTCAAGGCTATCTTGCTGAAGGAAGAAAACCACCGGTGATAATTCATATACAGCCAGAAAATTCCCGGAATCCCTAGACAGAACCAACTGGCGAATAGCGCCGTCTGTCAGGAAGTCAGTACGCGTTGACCGAGAGGCGTCAAGAAGCCATGCACAAACCATCAAGCTGAGAAGATTATTGAACACCGGAATCGCCTCAGCGATAATCCACGAGACAATCCACAGAGACAATCCGATCGCCACCCACGAGCCGACGGCGACGAAATCGCGCTTCTGCATGCGGTTGGTGCCGGCGAAAACACGCACGTAGATAGATTTGCTTGCAACATGGCCTGTGAGGACGCCCGCGATGATGATCTGGTTTGGTTTTGATTATTAGGTCCCTGTTCCGGATTCAGAAGGCCCGCTGAGAACTCACTGTCGGCAGGGCGATGCCGTAGGCTACCTTTGAGACGACAGGGCCGGCGGCTCCTAGTGCTGGAGAGGGGACGTCCTCCCCGACGTAGCAGTATATGACGACGGCGGCAATGAGGTAGAGCGATATGTCGAGTGACTGGGTCAGGGCAAGCGACTTGGTGAAGTCTTTGGGGTCTTTGAGCTCGGCCATGAAGTTGAAGAAGGCGTTGTGGCTGGCTGGGCTGTGTCAGACTCGGTCTCTTCGCTTCCTCTCTTATGCCTTGTTCTCCACTGCGAGCTTACCAAATGCAAACACGACGTTCGACGCTGACGTGAAGCCGGTGACAAGGTTCGTATCCACGGTGGGCCCAACTTTGGGGGGCATCCTCTGCACACCAACCGCAATCATCGTCACGAGGACCGCACAGAAGATACTCGTGAACGCTGAGAAGAATAAGCCGACAGTGGAAAAACTATACTCCCCAGGATGCGCCGGAAAAGATACATACACGCCATCGACAGCCAAGACATATTCTTCAACGTCCGCGGCAAAGAGAGTAGCATAGAAACCACGAGCCCCACAACCCCGAAAACAATCGAGCAAGTAGCA